TTCTGGGGACTCATAGGGAATGTCCCTATCCCTGACCTTGGAGCATCTTCTTCTCCTGGGGATCTAACCCAGGGAGGGCCTCGTGCATGCTAGGCAAACACTCAACCACTGAGCTATATCCCCAGCCCCTGAGCACCGTTCTTGTTCTGCCACATGGGGGCTTTGATGGTAAGAGAAAAATGATCTTTTGGTGACTAGCAAGGGGAAATCCCCCTGCCACTGTAACAATATCCATTCTACTCTCTTCCCTAGTCATCTTGCAAGGTTCCCCAGTGGCACCAAACCACTTAGCCAATATGTGAAGGAAGCAGGCCCTCTATAATCAGTCCTACCTTTTCAGTCTTGCCTCCCATCATGCCCCTTTGCCAGGTAAACAGAACCAATCCCATCACCCTATTACCCCTCCACATCCAGCACTTACTCAATTGTCCTCTCTGTCAGGAGAACCCTTCCAGTCTCTTTCCCATTTTTACATGTTCATCGAAGACCTGCTCAGTAGCCCCTCCCCAGAGTCTTCCTGAGTTCCTCCTTACTTCTACAGCATTCCTCCTCAACTCTCTCTATGGAGGGCAGCACAACATGACAGGACACAAACCTGGAGCCAGAGTGCTACATTCAGATTCTAGCTTCCATATCACAAGTTGGGTAACCTTAAGTAGGTTATATACCTTTTCATTGCCTTAATGTTCCCATCTGCAAAATGGAGACAGTAACATGACCTCTTCACTCACACCATTTTTGTGAGGATTAAATGACTGAAAGATGCATGAAGTGCCCACTTCAATCTCTGGCACATAGTAATCTATCACTGAACTTTAAAAAAACCTTTTACCTATTATTATTACTGAAGGTGACCCTCGCCCTTCCTCCTTCCCTTACTGCATCAATCTGTCCAATCTTGCCCAACCACTTTCTATCTTACATGATTTAGGTACCTGTCTGAGTTCTCTGTACAACTAAAAATCCCAGTAAATGCTTAGTTTGGTATATATAAATGGTCAATATAAGGCTACAGAATGAATGAATGAATTCTAAATAGTCATGCTTATAGTCTTTCCATAAGAAATTCAGTGTTTAACATTTTGGTAGTAATCGTTCAATACAAATAGGTATTTCAGCTTGATGTTTGTGTTCTAAGTGTTCTTTTATTCCAGGTCTTCTAGAGCAATTAAGTCACCTGTAATGGCATTTTAAAAAATCTACTATAAAATAATAAATGTTAACATAATTTTTTTGGGGGGTACTGGGGTTTGAACCCAGGGCTTCATGATTGCAAAGCAGGCACTCTGTCATTTGAGCCACACCTACAGTCCATTTTGCTATGGTTATTTTGGAGATGGGGTTTTGCCAACTATTTGCCCAGGCAAGCCTCAAACCATAATCTTGCAATCCCAGTCTTCCAAGTAGCTAGGTTTACAGAAGTGACCCACAGGCTCCTAACATAATTTAAAAAAAAGAAGAAGGAGAAGAAAGAAAGAAAAGAAAAGAAGAAAAGGGCTGGAGTCATGGCTTAAGTAAGCACAGCTCTTGCCTAGCAAGCCCAAGGCCCTGATTTCAAACCCTTGTACTGAAAAAAAAAGAGAAACAAAATTCATATTCAGTGTTTGAAGAAAGGTAAAGAAGAGATTAAAGAAGTAAAACTTTTCATCCATAGCAATAGTTCTCAAAGTAGACCAGCATTACTAGGGAACTGGTTAGAAATGTGGAATGCCAGGTCCTGCCCCAGACTTACCTAATCAGAAACTCAGGGTGGGGCCCAGTATTCCATTTGAACAAGCCCTCCAGGTGATTTTGATGACAGTGAATCATGAGCTCCGCAAGAACAAGAAGTAACATACACAGCAGTGCAGAATGAGCACCATCAGGAGTGGATGCTAGGCTTAACTCTGGCTTTGACCTTGTACAAGTCTCTTAGTTTCTCAGAGCCTAAATTTCTTTAAGTAATTCAGGGACAATAAGACCCAAATAATTAAATGTTCTGAGGATTAAATGAAATTCCATGTACAGAGGTTTCATATAGTAAGTACTTAATAATTATAAGTTCCTTCCAGTTCTCTTCCTGTGATTTGGAGACTAAATAAAAAGGTGGGAGCCAAAGGGCTTTGCAAATTGCCAACTGTCATAGAAATCAGAGGAACAACTAATTATTCTTGGTATAAACGGCCAGACTAGAGTTAAACACTTACCATTCACAGAGCATTATGAAGAGGTTTAGTTTCAACATCATTCAGTCTCCAAACACAAACTTTGCAAATTATTACCTGCTTTCTTATATGTTAAAACAGAACGATGAAGAGATGACCCCTCCCCTCCAATATTCTGGGAAGCATTAACTAACTAGTCACTGGTTTCTGAATCTAAATGAATCTCAAATCTTCTCTTTGGAAAAGGAGTATCTGAAAACTTTTTTCCAACCAACAGAAGGAAAACAGCAGACATCTGCAGAGCACCTGAACCTGACTTGGGGAGTTCCCAATGTATGATATTCAACTCCACGTGGTGGTGAAGATTGAGATTAGGCAGTAACATCTTGAAATTGTTTCAGAAGAGAATAATCAAGAAATAAAAGTAGGATTTTTTTTTTCTTCCAATACACTTTACACCACTGCTCACTTGCTCTCTGAATCACACATTTTACTCAGGAACCAACTTCCAGAATGAAGGGCACGATGGATGAAAGAAATGCACAAATAACTATGTCAGACTGTGAACTTGGCTGTCAGTTCCACATGGGTTGACTAAATGTGCAACTAAATAGCACCAAGTTAGAAAATCCACATGAGACACAGTTCTAAGACAAAGTAATAATTACTCTACCACCACTCTGACCCAGAACACGTTTAGTGAGCATATTTCCTCTTCTGAAGGCCCGCTTAGATTGGCTTTTTAATATTTGTGTCCCCAGAGCTTGGCAGAGACTTGGCACTCCACAGGCACTCATAAATGACAGACAGAATTTAAGTACAAGCCCCATATAGCTAATGAGAAGCATTTTTATAAGTGGAGAAAATGAGGTCTACAATGAGATTGAAAGTTGAAGCCAGTTAAAGAAAGTCATCTTCGGCTGGTGGCTCACGCCTATAACCCTTGGTACTCAAGAAAGCAGAGATCAAGAGGATCAAGAGGATCACAGTTCAAAGCTAGCCCCAGGCAAATAGTTCAGGAGACCCTATCTTGAAAACACCCCACATGAAGAGCTGGCAGTGTGGCTCAAGTTGTAGAGCATCTGCCTAGCAAGCAAGGTTACTGACGCCCTCTCCTGTTAACTGGCTGGATTCAACACCCAACTGAGAAGTGAGTTTTGAGAATACAATAAACTGCAGAGGAAGAGCACCTGAAGAAAGTGGGAAAGGAACTAGGAAAAAGAAAAGTGAGAATCCAGACAGATACTCCAGTGGGCAACAGGGGACAAAGTGTCATAATGGTGGGAAAAAACTCTTTCAGGGCACAGTCACCATGGTGCCTTATTGAAGAACACTACCAAAAAGGAAAGATAGGCCCCTAAATGTCAGTGAACTAACAGGAGAGGCCTCAATAACTTTGCAGGCCTCTTAACAGCTGAAAAGTCAGCTGGAAATTCATAAGCAAAGTAGGAAATAACTTACTACTGCCTAAATCAGTCAGACCCATAAGGACACCAAAGGTTCCTGTTCATAAAAGATGTTTCATCAGTACTTCAACCAATCAAGAGGAACCCAGTTTTAAAAGAAATTCATCAGCATTCTTGACTGATCACTTGGCATAAGATCCTGCCTTGGGTGAAAAACCAAGTTGCTTTTTTACTTTTATTATTTGCAGTTCTGGGGCCTCAAACCAATCTCGTAAGTGCAAAGCACATGCTCTCCCACTGAGCTATGTTCCTAACCTTTGTTTTACGCTTTCCCAAGTTACTTTTTTAGTAAGGAAATCAAGAGTGGTCACTTGCTATTTCTTCCATCTATGCTTTGGGCTTTCCTTACCCAGCACGCTGCTCATCTCTGGCACCCTTTTCCAAGTGCCCAGAGCCCCTCTATAGGATTGACGGGTACTGCTAAGTACTACTCTTTCTATACTACCAGCAAAAGATTTCAGTTTTGGCAGATTTAATATCACAGAGGAACAACAGTCAGTGTGCAGAGAATACTGCTGGGAATACCAAAACTTTAGAACTTTAAGGGACCTACCACATCTCACTCCAAACACCTCATGTGACAGACAAGGGAACTTCAAACCAGAAAGGGCACAAGGTCATGAGGAGAGTCCCTGGCAAAGTCACTCCCGGAATATAGGTTTCCTGATTCCCAGTGGAGTGCTCTTATCATTAAACAACAGGGCCTCCCTTCTTTCCTGGGTGGCACTGCAAGCAAGCCACCCCCCCGCCAAGATAATCACCGCCAAGATCCCCTCCCCCATCCCAGGCCCTCCTACAGCCTGGCTGACAAGCAGCTCAAATTAGTAAGTCGTGAAGCAGAGGGCATTTTCTGGGAGGGCGTCCTGTCTGGGAGCTGCTGATAGGAAGAGGAGGAACAAGGACGGAAGGAGGAGATGACATCTCGCAAAAGGTCTAGGAGACTAGGCCCTGGGGTGGTGGTAGCGAGACTGCAGGGCTGAATAAGGATGCTCGTGGCATCTCCCACCAGGCAAGGGAAAAGCAGACCAGTAGTCGGCACCAATTCTAGGGAGAGACAGGAAGGGCTGGACTCTGATGGGTAGGACGCGGGGAACGTCTCAAGTTCAAGTTGGACCTCAAGGGGCTTCTCCTGGGAAGGTGGCACTGGCGCCAGGCAGAGGCCCCAGGACAAGGATGCCCGGTCCACCTGTGAGGTGGCACCGGTTCCTGGTAGAGGCCCAACACACACATGAGGTAGCAAGCACTATAGCGCCGGGCAGAAGCCCGACTACTAGGATGTCCAGTCCACCTGTGAGGTGGCACGGGCGCCAGGCAGAGGCCCGCTGTCCTCACCAGACCAGTCAGCCGCCTCCGTCGCCCATCGAACCGTCCGCCCCACGCGCGGCCTTACCGAGACATTGTCCCACAGGGGTACTGAACGGGTTCCCCAGGAGGAACTCCATCTTGGGCGGACAACACGCAGCGGCCGGGCGCCTTGTTTGCGGCCGCGGTCTCGGCTGTCCGCTACAGCACTCCCGACCTGACTGACACTTGCCCCCGCCCCACCCTCTGGAACGCCGAAGGCCGGGCCCCTGACCCCGCCCTCCGGTCGCATCTCTATTGGGCAACGCCTACACAGCGCTCTTCCGATTGGCCTTCACACCACCCTCAGAAAAGTCCCACCCATCCCGGGGCATCCGATTGGGCGAGGAGCAAGCTAGGTCACTGGAGTCCCCGTCAGGCGTAGTGGCACCTCCCCTACCCCGCCTACGAATAAGGGAAATGCATTTTGATTCACCTATATATTGGTCAATCTAGAGAATCTTCACTATTATTGGACAAAAGACAAGTCAATTACTCAAGTAGGCGGGCGAAGAAGAGGTGGATCTAGGAAGTTGCCCTAGCATAGAAGGTGCTGATTGGAGAAACGTTTGTTTTCTCTGTGACTGGTTGGTGTTAGGAGTATTTTCCCACCCAGAGATGTGGTCATGTGACACCTCTACTTTCACCTAGGATGACTAAAGCCTGACTTCCCCTTAGCAACCGAGTAGCGGCGCTTGGTTCCCCAGCAACCCGGCGACGGTAGCTGGTTGTTTGAGAAGGTGAGACCCAGGAGTTGAGGGTCCAGGAGAACTCGCAGTGGCAGAGAGCGCCCGAATCAACTCTTTCCTGTGCCTTTTCAGTGAGGATTCTGGCCCGGCCCTTCTCATTCGTAAAATGAGCGCTCAGGTCCTCTGCCAGCCACTTTACAGTTGTGCTGAGACTTTTCAGGCCGTTGCAGGAGAAAACTGCTAAGAGAACATTTCTTAAGTGAGCAAAGGCAGGAAGGAATTTTAAAGGGGTTCCATCCCCCAACCTCCTTGCCTGATCCATTTCATAGAAAGAGAAATGCCTGTCCACTGGTAACTCCTTCCAGAATTTATCTATCGTATCCTACATTTTAACTCTCGTGAAGTTATTTCATCTGCTGCTATGTAAAGTGTTTGGTCTAGGAACACGGATACTGGGGTTCCGTGTCTGTCTCTGTCAGTAACTCATTTTATGAGTTCGGACAAGTTCCTTCTCACCAGGATATTATCTGGGCGATAAAGGCATTAGGACCACCCCTCTTTAATGGCTCACAGAGCTGACATGTAATTAAATAATTCTTGTTCACTGAGAGCAGAATGAGCATTCAGTCAATGGTTGCTTTTCTTCTCATTGAGTCTGTACTTTTCAGATTCAATTCACACAGGTTGTTGTTTCCCAGGAAAATCCGGATCTGTTTCTCAGTGAGGAGGCTACCTCATTGATAGTGTGTGAAACTCTACTGCTTCTCCACCTCCTACTTCTGGTCTTCACCAACAAGTACCATCAGGCAAGTCAAGAGGGATCCCCTCTTGGGTGATAAATTACTGATATATAAACCTCATAGGGGAGGATTGTTTGGGTCTTGTCCACATCCTAGGGCAGGTGTGAAAAACATGAGCTGTGGCAATGGTTGTTCCTAGTATACTGGGTACAGTGGAGTCATAATTAGGAATATAAGTTCTGCCATATAGGAAAGGACAAGTCAATCCTGAGTATATTATGTTAATTAACCTAGAAAAGTTAATTAGCTTCTGTCTTCTTATCTAGAAACTAGGGATGATTAGTCCTATATATAAGTTAAGTTCCTAGAAATATCTCAAATCCACATATTACCACTACCCTAGTCAACTCTGGACTCACTACTCTTACAATTCTTGACACTGCAGCTATAATGAGTTTTTTTTCATTTTTGGTGGTACTGGGATTTGAACTCAGGGCGTTTTGATTGCTAGGCAGGTGCTGTAGCACTTGAGCCACCCCCCAGCCCTAGAATAAGCTTTTTAAAACTAAAATCATATCACTGTCTTATTAAGCCTTTTGAGCTTCTCGGGCCTCCTAAGATAACAAAACAACTGCTGCAACTGTCTGCAGGGTTGCATCACTTCAGCTCAAGTGGAGCACACCTGATCACTCCCACCTCAGGGCCATCACCACGCCATTCTCTCTTCCTTCTTTCCTACTCATCCTTCAAGGTCAGCGCTCCTTCTTTTTTTTTTTTTTTTTTTTGGTGGGACTGGGGTTTGAACTCCTACTCATCCTTCAAATCTCTGTCCTCTCTGGCCAAGGCAGGTGCCCCCAATGTGTGCTTTCATAGTTCCCTACACCTATGAACTTAACAGGGTTTGTAACTAAGCATTTGTTGATTCATGTCCAGAACAGAAATACAATCTGTCTGTGTTACTCATGGCATGTTGTTATTTGGTACATGTGTGTGGATTAAACGTGATCTTACAAAAATGTAGGAGAGAGGAATTATCCCACCTTTGACAAGGGGAAAGCAAATATTTAGACTGGTGAAATAAGTTGCCAAAAGAGGCACAGTTAGAGTCCAAATAGTGTGTATAACAACAGTTTCACATTGCAGAGCAACTGCTGGGCTCAACTGAAAACAAGCACCCATACTTCATGAAGTGGGATGGATGAGAAGTTAAAGGTTGTTGTTGGGGAATTTTTGTTGTCATTGTTTTAGGTTTTTTATGTGTGTGTGTGTGTGTGTGTTTTGCTATGTATGCAGCCTAGGTTGGCCTCAAACTTGCAAACCTACTGCCTCAGCCTTCCCCAGGGCTTTAGTTACAGGTATGCACCACTTCTTGCCCAACAGGACATTAAAAAGCCCAAAATACTTTGCAGATAACATCTGCCAAATAAAACACTTTAATATTTTCTCAGAGGTAAGATGGTGGCAAGTTATGGAAAACCTTGGAGAAAATCATTTCAGAAGAGTAGGGAGCTGGTAAGGGCTGGGATTGTCTTTGGGGGCCGACTCAGTCACCCTAAAGAAGTGGAGCCAATGTGGAGACAGTAGCAAGACAAGGCCAAGATCTTGAAGGATGGAAGGCCCAGATGGAGAATAGAGGTTCAGAGGCAGAAGGGAAGGGCACACAAGAGTTAAAGGCATTGGGATATTTGACCAGGGATAGAGGAGGAATGGAGGATGAATATTTGCATAAGCTGCATCCAGTGGATGGTGGGGGAGGAAGTAAGAGAGAGGGTAGTCTTAGAGGGAAGTGTCTAAGATCAGGTGATAGATCATCTAGCCCAACAGGGGTTTATGATAGATGCCATCAGCCCCACATCAGGAGTCCCTCTAGCCATGCTCAATGAAATGAAAGGCAGAGTGCAGGGCTCAGGGAGGCCTGAATACTGGGGAGGCCTGTGGGCAAAGGTCAAAGGTCAGGCCAGTTGGGAGGTAAAAAGCAGATAGAAACAGGGGAGACTGGACCTTCAGAAGACTCAGGAGACAGAACCCCAGTAGACTGACAGGAGAATATGGCTTCCTTCAGGGTCCATCTGTATGGATGTTCTCACCGAAAGGGCTGTTAATGATGAGAATGAGGTCAGAGCAACCTGGCTTCCCAGGAGTGTGGCATGGCTGTCCAGAGTCTTCCTCACCCTAGGACTGACAAATTCATACATCCCACCTTTGTCTCTGGTTCCTGGTCCAAAGCAGATCCGTTTGGACCATTAATAACCAAAATCTACCTGAGTTAAAGTAAAAGAGAAATTAATATGAGAAAACACAGAAAGGGGCACAGAAACTCTCATAGGGCCTAGACTTAGGGAGTTAGGGACTGGAAAGCCAGTGAGAAGAAAGCAGCCTCTGTCTATGTCATTTTTTTTTTGCTGGATCACCCAGGTTCCCATCTATGCTTCTTTACATATATCCATCACATCCCCCTCTTTCTCTGCTTAACCATGTGCCTGGTTAGCTCATGGCTCTCCATAGCTCCTCTCCAGCCAACCAGCCAGCTCTGGTGGCAACTCTCATCCCTTTCCTCAGCAGGAGAACATGAATAGCCAGTTTGGGTCAGTGGCTCCCTATACACTGAGTGTAGCTTGAGGGTGGGGGGAGCACACATGACTGGCTAGAACTGCCAAGGGAGCACTGTCAGTGGTTGGTTCCAAGAGACCTGAGATGAAAACAGAAAGTCAGAGGCCTGACTCTGGGTCAGGGCCTTGAGGGAAGCTAAGATTCACTGGTGGAGACCAGTATGGATGCCAGTCCAGTGGCTCCAGATAGGGCCCCAGCTATAGTTGTGGGGTCAAGCAGTGAACCCCTGCAAAGGGCCCAGTTGATTGCTGGGAAGCCCTGAAGAAGCCTGGGTACAGACGTCTTAACCCCGCAGTGCAATAGGTCATGAAGTGGGAGTAGGCATCCCTCAGCTGTCTATGGTCACACATTGGCCCATGATACCTTAAAAGGATACTCAAGCCAGACTGTCCTCAAACCAAGGAAGAGGCAGGCTGTGAAAGAGGAATGTGGTTTTCTAGGAAAGATGAACCGACTCTATGATTCGATGGAGCCAAGAGTGGTGGATGATGACATGCTGAAGGTGGCAGTGGGGGAGCAGGGCCCCCAGGAGGAGGCTGGGCAGCTGGCCAAACAGGAGGGCATCCTCTTCAAAGACGTCCTGTCCCTGCAGCTAGACTTTCAGAGTAAGTATCCTGGGTGCCCAGGGGTGGCCCAGGGTGGGGCAGGGGAAACCAGTGAGATCTCCCTGACTTTCTCTGCTCTATCTTTAAGCCCCAGAATTCCATACAAAGTCAGTGGTCAAATAACCCACATTGGTATGCCAGGTTCCCAGGCATAGGAGCAGGCTGGATGTTCTGAAAACTTGATACTCCATGCCAGCAACATTTGTTCATGACACTTTTGATTCAGAATGGGAACAGAAAACAAGATAAGATTCCTCTACTCCAAATCTTAAGTGAGCCTCAAAGCCCATGCTTTTCCTGTCATATAGCTCCACACTGATGTCCTTGGAGGGGGGGCGTCCCTGGCAGGCAGAGCCTAGGAGTCCCCATGTAGCAGGAGCTGGAGTGGGAAGCAAAAGGAGAAGGAGCAGGAGCCAGCACTGGGGATACAGCTTCTAGGGCAGGGTAGCTGAAGAGGGGCTGGGAAGGCACCTCAGGAGTGGCAGTTCATCGCAGTAGGAAGACATGACTTGGGACCAGACAAAGCCTCACTTCCTCAGAGTCCCTGTCTGTGAAATAGGATGCCTGCATTCCCTGACTCAATCACAAGCTGGGCAAACAAGTGAGACATGTGCACAGTGCCTGGCTTGTGCAGGAAGCCTGTCAAACTTGTCAGTCTACTGAGTCAGGACAGACGGGGTGCAAGAGGAAAGGCGGGGGGGCGGGGGGAGTGGAACATGATCCTGAGCCTCCTGTATACTCTGCAGGTGAGACCACAGCAGAGTAACACAGTGGGACTCACATTCCTGCTGGCCTGGCATCCAATCAACAAGAAGTTACTGAGACCTGCCTCAGCTCATCCCTGTGCCAGATGCTGGGGACTTAACTGTGGGCAAAACAGGTCTGTCCCAGGCCAGCCTCACATAGCCCACCCACATGTCTCTTCCAGTGTGGCCTCCAAGGCTGACCACAGTCCCCTCAGCCCTGGGAGGAGGAAAGGGTGCACAAAGGCTGCCACAGGGTGGGGCTTGAGCACTTGACTACTTTCCTTTTGCTTCTTGCCTCCACACCTAGTGATCATTTGGCCAATGTTGAGCAAGTGCCTATTATATGCCAGGTACTGGGTTCTAGGCACTAGGATTCAGCTGTGAGTCCAAAAGACAACCTTATCTTCATAGAGTAGACATTCAAGTGAGGGAGATAAAGAAGGAACATAGATTGTATGTTAAAGGCAGTAAGTGCTATGGAGGAAAATAAAGCAAAGAAAGGAGAAAAGAGAGGGATGGGGTGAAGTGTTTAGTTCTAGAGTGGCCACAGATGCAGATTAAGTGTCTGTGTTAAAGATTTAATCTGGCTATTTCAGCAGTTCTGGCATACTGACAACTCATTTAGAGCTAACTGCCAGGTATATCCTGGCTCATTGTGTACTTTGGCTTCTCATGTGAACTGCTAATGCCTAGGAGAAAGCAGATGTAGGTGTGTGTGGCAGAGTACCCAGGTGAGTATGAACCACCCAGCTAAAGTGGCTCTGCAGGAAGCCACCACAGCCAAGGGCAAAGTAGGGCTGGGCAACTATTAGTCAAAGATGAGGATAAGAGCAGGTACCTGAAAAATCCAGACCAGGGATGGGAGGTGGCTGGGAGCCCAGGGCAGAACTGGGCACTGCCCCAGAAATACAGATGGGGACAGAGACATATATCAGTCTGGGAAATTGGACCACAATTAAGGAGCTAGAGAACAGGCTTCTTTGCCACCTGGCCCTGGGTATACCTGGAGGAGGCAGAGGGGGCAGTCCAACAGTTTCAGGGGAAAAGCAAAAGGCCCCTCACCCTAGGTCAGAGGACCCAGTCTATCTTACTCCAAGACTGGCACAGGGAGGAGGTTAGGAGGGATGTCCACACTGAATTCTTCCAACCTCACTAGCAGGCCCTATTTCTGAATAAATATTAAAACTGCTTCCCCAAAAGGTGGTTACTAATGGATTTTTATGTGTGCTGTGCTGGTGACTGAACTCAGAGCCTCTCATATACTAGGCAAGTGCTCTTATCACCAAGAGACACCCTTAGACCTATTAATGCTACTTTTTTGGGGGAAGAGATAGTACTGAGGTTTGAACTCAGGGCCTCATACTTGCTAGGCAGGCACTCTATACTTGAGCCATGCTCCCAGCCCCTTTTTGCTTTAGTTATTTTTCAGATAGGGTCTCACATTTTTGCCTGGGGCAAACCTTGGACCTCCTGCATAGCTGGGATGACAGGTGCCTTTTACCACACCCAGCTTGTTGGTTGAGATAGGATCTCAATAACTTTTTGCTTGGGCTGGCCTTAACCATGATCCTCCAAATCTCTGCCTCTTGAGTAGCTGGGATTACTGGCTTGTACCACCACACGCATCTTAATAGTGCTTTAAAAAAATACCTGTCATATATTATTTCATTTCTTAAATGAGCATATTTTGGAAATCACTACAAAAGCAAAACAGAGAAAAGGGGCATGTAAATGACAGTTATACATGACTTCTGGGAAAAGCTAGAATTGGATATATACAGTACCAATTTATTTATACTTAGGTGTTATTCAGAACTTTTCCAGCTGCCAATGACAGAAACCAAACTCTGAGCAGCTGAGGAACCCAGGAAATAAGTGGGCATGTAGCTGAGGTGGGTGTTTTCAGGGCTGCAGGTTCCTGGAGATCCCCCTCTGTTATATGACTGACTTATCCTGAACCTATATATAGCAATTTGAGGGGTTCCCTCATTTTTTTTTTTCTGCTCTTATGTGCCAGTAGATATTTCCTTGATGTGTTTTTGGAGACGATTCTAAGAAAATTGCAGAACAAAGGTCACAGACATTAGTTACTTCAGCAGATGCTGCCAGACAACCCCCCAAAAGGCAGAATGAATTGATTGAGCCTCCCACCAACAGAAGCATGCTTTGATTCTGTTTGTCACACTCTAGAAGGTTGGCCCCTGTTTGTGGCCTGAGTTCCAATATGGACTAGCCTCCTGGGGAACTCCCAGCCTAGCACCTGAGGCGGCATGAGTGAGTCACCCATCATGGACAGGTCCTTCTCAGTCCCACACCAACATCTCCTTTGCCCCTTTCTCTGGGACCTCTTAGGTCCTCCTGTGGTTCTAAGTGACAGTACTGATCATTCGCACACATGGCACTCCTCCATGTTCAGCCCACATCTCCGAGGTTCCCGTACATGCACACTTTAAAATAGAGCAGAGAGTTGTTGGTATTTTGTACCAACATCTCAGCCCACCATTATGTTGGCACAAGCCTCTACCCTGACCCAAGGCTGGATGCTTCAATTGTTCTAGACATCCTCCGCATTGACAACCTCTGGCAGTTTGAGAACCTGCAGAAGCTGCAGCTGAATAACAACATCATCGAGAGGATCGAGGGCCTGGAGAACCTCACACAGCTGGTCTGGCTGGGTAAGGGGTTGGGCTGTGTCTGCCCTGATTAAAAGAGATGAACTGGTCCAGGACAGAATATTTTGGTCATACCTGCCCACCTCTTAGGCTGGTGAGGCACAAGGAGAAACTATGGACTCCTGTTAATCTAGATGCAGGTGAACAGATAACTATTGCTTGGTGGGATCCAAATCAGATCAATAATGACCAGGACAGAAGCTAGTGGGCATGGAGCAGCATACTCAGACTAAGTATGGCCTGGGCATTTTCCCTACAAGGCCTTTCACTCCACAGTGTCCCCAACATAGAGATGAACAAACCAAGGTCACAGCAAGTAAGTGGGGACATCAGGCTACCAGCCCAGATCTGTGTGACCCTAGAGCTTTGGTCTTCACTACCAAGGCCATAGGAAGTTTTGATGAACTGTGCCCATCTACTGGCCACTTAAGAGCACCTCAAATCTGGTGAGGGGCAGGTGAGCAGCCAACAGGGAGAAGGGGATGGACCTGAGAGCTCTTTAGACATTTTGTCTCATTTAACCTCTACAACAATCCTAAGAGATGAATGTCTGTCATCACCCCAGTCTATGGAAGAGGAACCAATGCTCAGAGAGGCCAAGGTACTTGCCCAAAATTACACAGTCAAGCAGTAGCAGAGCTGGAGCTCATACCCCTGCCTGTTTGACCTCAACACTCACATTCCCTCCAGCCTTTCAAGCTGCTTCTTGGTAACAGGGGCAGCCTGAGGCATTAGTGAAGCCAGCAGGCCCATTTGTCTCTCAGACCTCAAGCCATGAATGGATCCCATAAGGGTCCCCTTTTTGTGTACTCACACAGAGAGATGTGAATACTGTCCATGGTTCCCTCCTGACCACAAGCTTCCATTTCCTAAGTGGTCAAATGGGGAAAAATTCCAATCTACCATGCAAAAGTGTTGTCAAGATGTGCACACAGCACTTGGTAGACATAAATGCATAAGTAGTCAGGAGTTGGTCTTTCTAAAATCCCCACAGGTGTCAGGGAAGGGCCACTTCCCAACTATCTGTTCTTGACTCCAAGGTGCACTGCTTCAGACCTGCTAGCAAGCATTTTAATACCAAAACTACAACAGCACATAGATGTGTCCCCAGCCAGGAGAGTGATTGGCAGAACATGTGAGGCTGCAGGAAAGAATCCATACCAGGCTTCTAGAACCCCTAAACTGTTAGAAAGACAATTCCTGGCCCCTCTACCAGGTGCTGGCTGCTAAGACAGCTAAATAGTCTTTTTTTTTTTTTTTTTTAGCAAGGATTTATTTTAGTTTAACAGGATAAAGTGCAGACGGTGGAGGGGGTTGCAAGAAGGCAGAGAAACATTTCCTGCCCTCATGTAGGAAATGGGAGCAAAGATTCCTATAATGACAGCAGCTACCTCATTCATAGGTGAGGTTTAATTTTTTTTTTTTTTGGCAGTATGGGGTTTGAACTCAGCCTCACACTTGCTAGGCAGTTGCTCTATCACTTGAGCCACTCTTCCAGCAAGCTAAATAGTCTTGATGGTTTCACTATAGGACAGTCTTTCCCCTGCCCAAGTGCACACCCTCAGATCCCTCTTCCCCTTCCAGATCTGTCCTTCAACAACATTGAGGCCATCGAGGGGCTGGACACCCTGGTGAACCTGGAGGACCTGAGCTTATTCAACAACCGCATCTCCAAGATCGACTCCCTAGATGCCCTGGTTAAACTGCAGGTGCTATCGCTGGGCAACAACCAGATCAGCAACATTATGAACGTGAGTGGCCCTGCCAGGGGGCTTGCGTGCACCCACATGCACCTGGGGGACCCAGGCTAGGGGCTCACGTGCACTGACATGTGCCCAGAAAACTGAGCTCACATGCACTAACATTTGACAGAAAGACAGTGTTCCAAGGAGCAATAAAATAAGACCTATGGATGGTAGAAGAGCATCCCAGGTGCAAGGATGTGTCTGTGTGACAGCAACCCCTGGTCATCACTTGGAAGGTGGGCTGCCCACCCCCAGCACACCCCACAATGGGCTTACAGCAGTGGGCTAGGGCTGAGACCCTGGCAGCAGCCATAGGGTGCTGTGCCAGAGGTGACCTGGTAATACATTTTTAGGCAACTCCTGTCTGTTTCTCCAGCCTGCCACAATTCTGGGAGCTGCCCAGTGTACTTTCGACTCCTTTTCTGCTAAGGTCTGTCTGATGACTGATATGCTAGGTGGCTTAGATGAATGGTCAAGTACCAAGTTATTACCCCTACTTAAGTGTTAAGCCAAATCCCAAAAGCAGTCTATGCCAGACAGGACAATTTAAACCAAAATGAGTTACAAACTTTCCATATCTCAGTTTCCCTACCTGTTAAGGAGAGAGAGTAGCAATAATCCACTTGCCCAATCAAGTGAGATAATGAATGTACAGTGCAGGGGCAGGCTGGAGCAGGTACTTTTTTTTTTTTTAGAGGGGGGGAGTTGTTTTGTTTGCTTGCTTATTTTTTTTGTTTGGGTTTTTGGTTGATTGTTTTTTTTTTTTTGAGATGGGGTATCCAGGCTGGCATCAAACTTTTAATCCTCCTGCCTCAGCCTCCTGAGTACTGGGATTATTGGTATCATTACCACCCCTGACTTTGCAGCACATTCTTAACACATGGAGGACTGTAGTAGCTTCCATTCTTCCTGGGAGAGTAGCAGGGTGAGAGGCAACTTGATTCCAGCTTATTAAGAATTAATGAGAACTTTCTATCCAGCAGTAGGAAGAGGCTTCCCAGGAGGAGGGGATGGCACGAGCAGAGGCCTGGTGATCCATCTGGGCAGCATACCTACCTGCATGGAACTTCTGAGGAGCCAGGGACTGTAGAAGTCAAGTGTGTGTAGGGTGGAGTCCAGCCTGGGAGCTGGGTCCTTGCTGCACATAGGAGCATCCAGAGAAGCATCAGGAACCTCAGAGGGCTTAGAAAGGTTTATATTTAGGAAGGAAACCCACCACTGTAAGGGTGAATTGAGGGGAATCTTTAGCCCAGTATGGTGTGACTAGAAAGGATGCTTTGCCTGTAAGTTACAGAAGAGCTCATGTCCGACTGGCTAGAATTAGAGCTGAGGCAGGGACTAGGGCACAGGCAGTTTGCTTGGGAGGTGACTTAAGGAAGCTAGCATGAGAAAGCAGGGAAAGAGAGAACCCGCATGTGGAGTGTCACTGAGATTGCCACTGGGAGTAATGGGCTCGATTCTGCTAAGGCCTCACCAATAGCCATAATGCCTCCTAAAAATGACCACCTAAGGGCTTATGCCAGAGCCATTGATCCCTAGTGCTCTGTCAACAGCTGGGGTCACCTGGGGAGATTAGTCCCTCCCTGCCTGGCTCCTGGGGTAAGTGGGCTTCTGGATCTTCAGCAAACCTGCCGAACTACACAGTGAGCAATAAGATGGAATGCTGTCAGCAAGAGTCTTTCACAGCTGCAGCTGATGTCACAGGTCAACCGAGCACCCACAACAAACAAGGGCATTTAGTGGCATGATGATTGGCACTCCAAAGAGAGGGTGCTTATAGATGGGGCTTCAAGGATGCAGGTTTTACCTCTGGGCTCTGCTGTTCTCAGTATCTCCCAGAGGCTGCTTCTCTTGAGTTGCAGTCAAGGTCACAGATTCTTTCTTTATATCTAGGATAGAGAGAGCAAGAAATGTCCCCCTATAGTGTCCCTTTAGTCTGATAGGGCCATCATAGGCCCTATATCTACCCTTAGACCAGTATCATAGCTGGGGCATGGCAAGGCTGGATGGCTTAGGTGAATGGCCTGGGGTGGATCAAACACGGAGTTGTTACCCATATATAAGTTTGCCAGGACCAAACCCTGGAAGTGGTATAGTATCAAAAGTTTATCCTGCACACCAAACAGGAAACTCTAAACCCACCCATGCCCTTTTTAGGGTTTGTGTGCTATTGTCCAGCCTGCCCTCTGCCCTGTGGAGGCATGGAAATCTTGTGCTGGCCACAGGCTGGCTGAGTGAGGCATGGTGGGTGCAGCTTACAGAGTTAAGGGCTGAGATTTAGTTAGCCTTGTCTTCAAATCTCAGCACTGCCACCTATCAGCTGTCTGACCTTGGGCTTGCCACTTAGAATTCTGTGTGCTCATTTATATATTTATACAATGGGATTAACAGTAGTACTTACCCCATAGAATTGTTGTGAGGACTGAATCAATTAGAACATTATGTGCCTAATGTAGGAACTAACATTTAGTAGGTACATGAAAAGTGATCATTATGCAGGAATTTGCAGGTTACAAAAATCCCCACCCCTTTTTCTTTTCTTTCTTAGTACAGTGCTGAGATATGGAACCCGAGAATAAATATATACTACACAAGTGCTCTGCCACAGAGCTACACCCCCAACTTAACCTTGCTGCTTAAAACTCTTTCTGAGCATTTAACATATGTTTTTCCCTGGTATGTCCTACACCCAGGCCTCCACTTGAATGGAATCCCTTGTGAATTGTTATTCCTTGGACATTGGAAAATTTTTTTTTTGGTGGGACCAGGGTTTGAACTCAGATCTTTGCTCTTGCAAAGCAGCCACTGTACTAGTTGAGCCATTCTTTCAGTATAGTTTGTATTGGTTGTTTTAGAGATGGGGTCTCATGAAACTATTTGCCCAGATTGGCCATGAGCCATGATCCTCCTGAATGAAGCTTCCCAAATAGCTAAGATTACAGGTATGAGCCACTGGTGTCCAGCCAACATTAGAGACTTTAATGTGCCCTCTGAAGGCCCAGTACTGGGCACAGGAGATGTGGAGGGTGCAGAAGTGGACATGCCGTGGCCCTGCTGTGGATGCCCCACTGGCTGTCTTGGCCTTGGGTATTCTTCCATCCTGTCCCACAGGACCTGGACAGGAAGAAATTTCATTGCTCTTTCCCAGTGGAGTGTTGGCCAGGTGGCCCCTCATGGATATTTGAGACACAGGTATAGCTGGTCCCCACAAAGTAGAAGACAGAAGGCCCAGAAAAGCTGCTGTAAAGCACTGAGCTGTCTGGGCCAGATATTCTCAAGGCCTGGTTTTATCCTTGGGACCCTTGGGACCCTGGATCCTCTTCATTAATCAGATGCCAGTCCTTTGTGAGAGCCCTGACTGATAGCACTCAGGTATTAGCTTCTAACCAAAGCTTCTTTGCCTATTGTCCTTATCTGACCTTCTTGTCTGACATCTAATTACATGTTCTCTTGTCATTTGTTTATTAGGCTTATTTTAGTGTCTGCTTATTGCATTAAAAACACAGACATTTAAGCAGAAGTCAGGGCATACAGGGAAAAGCCTCTCTTACCCCTTGGCCTTGGCTTTTGCTTCCCCTTCCCAATGCCTCGGCTATTTCTAAATTGCACGAGTGTCTCTTTAGGCCTCTTGTGTTTAAGTGTGCACATGATTGTCATGTCTGTCTGCCTACCCTTCAAGCACCCACCTCCAATGTTCCCCTCTCCTCTGGAGTCAGCAGTTGCCCCCTCTCTGCTTGACCATTCCATCACTCAGCCACAGTAGATGTATTTCTCCAGTCTCCTGGGGGTATCATCAGGTTGTTTCCAACCTGATGGCATTATGTGCAGTTAGTTTGCACCTGGATCAAGTCATCTGTAAGGTAAACTCCTAGAGAGAAATTGCTAGGTCAGAAGGCATGTACATTTTTTAATGTTGATGGATCTTTACCTAATTGCCCTATAGAGAAAAGGAATCTTTTATAACTTCACCTTCTACAACACATTTGTTATCAAACTTTTTTCTTTGCCAGTTTAAAAGATGAAAAAATGGAATCTTATTGAGATATCTCTTAGAAATTAAACAGATCCTTTCTCCTCCAATACATAGTTAAAACTTCAATGGCAGGCTGGCAGAGTGGCTCAAGTAGTAATTGTGCCTGCCTAGCAAGTGTGAGGCCCCAAGTTCAAATCCCAAACAAACAAAAACAGTGGCTTCCATGTCTTTAGGATATATTCTAAACTCTTGCTTATCTACTGTGTGGTCTTACATGAACCAGCCTCTGGCTTTCTCTCCATGTGCGTCCCCCAATCTTCTCCCTAGCTCCCTTCCCACATTCTGTAGCCACCATGACTTTTGTGCAGTTGCTGACAAGTGTCAATGTCTCTGCTGCCTCAGAGTCTTTGCATATACAGTTTGGCTTCTGGAAATGTGTTTTCTCTGCTTTTTCCTGGTTTGTTCCCTTAGGCCTCAGATTCAATGTTACTTCCCCAGAGAGACTTCTGAGCCCTCTAACTGAAAAAGGCATCTATACTATTTTCTCTTACTTATGTTCCTTATAATGCTCATCCCAAACTGTAATGATTTTATTTATTTAGTTTATATTTATTTAGTTTTTGTGTGTGGTACTGGTCATCAAACTCAGGATCTCATGCAAGTGCTCTACCCCTTGAACTGTACCCCTAGCCCTTTTGTTTTTGAGAGAGGGTCTCACTAACTTTGCCCATACAGCTCTCAAACTCTGGATCCTCCTATTTCCATCTCCCAAGTAGCTGGGATAATATCTGCACCACATGCCAAGTGATTTTATTTATTTTTTAAAACATTTCCCTCATCCATCGAATGTAAGTTCTTGGTATTAGGGCAAGAACCCATGGGCCTTGTTTCCCACTATATCTTCAAGGGCTAGCCACCTGCCTGAGGCATAGTAGGTTCTTAACAGTGTTTGTTGAACAAATGAACAAATAAATGGCTAGAAGAAATTGATTCAGAAAAGCATGCTAGCTTTTTTTCCTGTTTTATACATGGCACAGTGCCTAGGTGTTTGAATGATGCTATCAAAAGAAGTCTTGGCTAAGTGCTTTACTTGGCCATTTTACTGAAAACAGAATATAGCAAGAATAAACAACAGCTAGTGGAACAGTCTACTTTCTGTTATCCAATAAAAGAAAGATTAACCATAAATTACATTCTATTTAATTTAAGAGATTTGGACCTTTCACAAGGCTTTACAACATAAAAAGACACATATTCTGGGTGACCACCAATAACAATAATAACAGCAACAACTACCATTCCTTGAGTAGATGTCAGGCACCCTTCTGAATACTTTTCATAGCTTATCTCATTTGGTCTTTACAACACTCATTGCACATATAATATCCTTTTTTTCATTTTTATTAGAATATATTTATTGTACAGGGGGGATTCATTGGGATAATTCTGAATAGGCTTATGTTGTATATTGGTTAAATAGCCTCTACAATCTCCCCTCCACCCCCTCCCACATAATATCCTTTTTTTTTTTTCCAGTACTGGAGCTTGAATTCAGGGCCTTCACCTTGAGCCACTCTACCAGCCCAATTTTTTGTGATAGGGTTTTTCAAGATAGGGTTTCACGAACTATTTGCCTGGGCTGGCTTTGAACTGTGATCCTCCTGATCTCTGCCTCCTGAGTAGCTAAGATTACAGGCATGAGCCACCGGCACCTGGCAATATCCTTTTATACACATTTTGCAGACAAAGACATCAAGATTTGCAGATGTTAGGTAAGTTGTCCTAAGTTCCACAGCAAGGTTTGAACTCTGGTTGGTTGTTGCTTTGGAAAGACCGTGCCTAACCAAAGGTCTCTTGGCTGCTATCTAGCCAAGAAGCCCCACTTCTAGGCTGAAGATACCTTGGCCATGCTGCAAACGTGAAGAGCACTAAGAAGAAATGCTGTCATATGTGATTTCAGTTCTGTGGCAGCCAGAAAATGGATCTTTCTCCCTTCTTTTCCCAGTTGATCTACCTGCGGCGGTTCAAGGACCTACGAACACTCAGCCTCACTGGGAACCCCGTTGCTGAGGCAGAGGACTACAAGATGTTCATCCATGCCTACCTTCCTGATCTTGTGTACCTGGACTTCCGGCGCATTGATGACCATGTGGCAAGTGTCCCTTCTCAGTCCCCCAGATCTGTGAGATAGTCTTCAGGGGCCCAGGTTTCATGAGATGGTGAGGAGAAGCTTCCCCCATCCACAGCTAGGAGGAGAGAAGAATGGCTTCCTTTTGCTGAGCTCTTTACCTGTCTCTGTTAAAGCATTACCTTAGCAACTTTTTCCTGTGGGGTCCTTGGACTAGGTGCCTCCCTTGCATTGCTCCTAGGCCACCAAACAACTATTGTCTATTTTCTAGATGAAGCCATTGAGGATAAAGGAGGGTGAGAAGTTAAGACTGCCAGGATCACCCCAAGTCTGTGACCCTAGGAGCAATGTTACCTCCCATCATTGTGGAGCATTTATATGTTAAGCACCAGCATGTGGCATTTCCCTCCTGACCCCCTGTTTTCACCACAAACTGGGAGGGGGCCCTACTCTCATCCCCAGCTTTCCCATGTTGAAGCTGACACACAAGTGAGGTGACTCACTTCAGGTCTTACAGCCAATGATGATCAGGCTGGGAGTTGACCTCAGGTGGCCAGGCAGGAAAGTCTGGGCTTCAGCCCCATGCTGGGCTAGCCTGGGCAGAGTCTCTTCCCTCTGTCCACTACCCACCTCTGTCCCCACTCTTCTTCCTTCAGAGGGTCCCCTTTCATCTGCCTCTCAGTCTTTGCAGAGTAATCTGTTTGTACTTTCTTCACTTGGAAAGAAGGGGAAAAACTATCTGGCCCAATTTGTGAGGCCTTTGGTGGCAGGACCACGAGGTTCCCTGTGCAATGAGTGCCTGGAAGACTGAAGGCTGTTACCTGCCTGCTGCTTCTCATGGGAAGCTGGTGCCTGTGCTGGGAGAGAGGGATCTGTGTTTGGAGCACTGAGGTGTTTTGGGGGACAAACAAGAGAGACCCATTTGAAGCAGGGTGGAGGGCTGGCCCCCTGACCTCAACCCTGACCCTCTGCAGCATGCCCATGAAGCTGATCTCAGCCCCCAAGAGACAAGCTGCCTTCTAAGCACCAAGTTTTCTACTTACTGAAACCTTCTTTGGAAGTTCACAGAGGCCACATGGGATCAGAAAGCTGCTCCTCCAATGACCGTGGGCTTTCTCATCCTATAACAGTACAAGAATTTGAATTCCATGACTTTTTTTTCCCTCAGTGTATATTAATTGTACCAAGGGGTTTCATTGTGCTATCTCCATGCATACATATAACGTACATTGGTCATATTCATCTCCTCTATCACGCTTTCTTATTTCCTGTCTCCCCACTTTTTTTTTCTTTACAATTTTTAATGGGTTTTATTTATTTATTTTAACAGGGTTAATTCACTTTATTTTTCTTATATAAAAAGCTCTATGTTGAGGCTGGCAGAGTGGCTCAAGTGATGAGTGCCTGCCTAGCAAGTGTAAGGCCCTGAGTTCAAACCCCAGTGCCATCAAAAAAACCCCAAAAAGTCCTATGTTGAAGCCATAGCTGGAGCCTGGGTCCTCTACACAGAGACTCTGGGGTGGGTTTTCACAAGATGGTCAGTGAATTCCTGATAGGGAGACTTGGTGAGTATGCTCTCTTTCCAGAGGTTTGGGGTCAGATAGCTGTAGGTCTTGGAAATGGCATCAAAGGTGGCCTTGGCAAAGTTGCTCAGGGTGGCAGTGCAGCCCCTGGCTGAAGTATAGCAGTCATTTATAACAGCCAGCAGCAGCAGCTTCTTGAGCACAAGAGCTGACACAAGGCCAGTGCCCCTGGCACTAAAGGCGGGAATGAGGCACACCAGCATGGAACCAGAGCGGCCTATCACCTTGCATGGGACAATGTGGGGCTTGCCAATCTTGTTTCCCCAGTAGCCTCTCCACACAGGGACAATGGAGAGCTTGGCCAAGATGATGGCCCTTCGGATGGTGGTGGCTACCTCCTTGGAGCACTTAACACCAAGCCTGAAGTGCTGTTGTAGTCCCTTATGGTTACAAATGTTTTAAACCTGGTGTGCTGGTATGATTTTCAAGACCTTAGGGATGCCCTCCAGGATTAAGTCAATAATCTCAGACTTCTCCATGGGCAGGGAGAAAAGATATATCTCCAAGGACTTGATCTTCATGTTCTTGACCAGGTGGCCCTGCTTGATGATGGGATCCACTCCTTTTCCTCAGCCTTGCTCCACATGAGCCCTACAGTCACAGCCACAGCCATGATCGCTATCCAAAGGCTGCTGCTGAACCCTCTGCTGTACCTCATCATCCACCATTTGGTGTTTTCCAAGAGAAGAAGCTTTTTTTTCTTTCTTTCTTTTTCTGTTTCTTTTTTCTTTATTATTATTATTTTTTTTGCAGTACTGGGACTTGAACTCAGGGCCTCATGCTTGCTAGGCAAGCACTTTACCACTTGAGCTACTCCACCCTTTTTTGTGTTGGGTATATTTGATATAGTGTCTTTCAAACTATTTGCCCAGGCTGGCTTTGAACCAGGATCCTCTTGATCCCTGCCTCCTGAGTAGCTAGGATTACAGGTGTGAGCCACCAGTACCCAGCTAGAGAAGAAGCTTTGTAATGGGTTTTATTATTCTATTTTCATACATACATATAATGAATTTTGATCATATTCACCCTCCACCATCCTCTCCTTTCCCCTTCTTCTAAATTCTAAGACTCAGAAGTCTTATTTTTGTCATTTAGGCAATAATTTGAAACACAACATTGGCTCAAAAGCTTAGAATAGGCCACAGACCCATTTGGGTGTGTTTCGTCCATTATAAAAACAGAAGGACAAAAGCTGAGGGTGTAGCTCAGTAATAGAGTGCTTGGCTAGCCACGTGTGAGGCCCTGGGTTCCATTCCCAGTACTACAAAGAAAAAAATCTAAAAACACAGGACAACCTAAGACTGTTCACTGCCTTCCCAGGCATTGTCTACTGAATTCTCAGAAGTTTCCATCAAGGTCAAGTAGCACAGCCCCAGTGTCCCTATTGCATTGTGAGCAAAGACATCTTCCACAATTCAGAGACTTGCCTAGAATCATTAAGATAAATAATAAGCAGGGGCCTTGAAACTCTTCTGTCCAGAGTACTGTCTGACCTGCAATACTGTAGGACTCGGGCAGGAGCATGGCCTACAGTGCTCCCCAAATCATGCCCAGGGCTGAGGGCATGCTCCTGGTGTGCCTCCAGCTCCATGATTTCCCTTAGACTTAGGATTCCTGAAAAGGGTCATCCTCAGAACCTCTCAGCTTTCCCAACTTTTGTGAAAGAGACCTCTTCCAACACTCTGGCCCATACTCAGGAGGCCATATGATGGTAGAGGTCACTGTAGCTTAGAAGGACCAGATATCCTATAGTAATGATATCATTTCTGTTTCCTGTTCAGAAAGAGCTGGCTCAGATGAAGTACCAATACAGCATTGATGAGCTGAAGCACCGGGAGTATGTGATACAGGCCCGGCTGGAGGAGGAGCAGGCCAAACAGCAGGAGCTGGAGGAACACAAGGTACCACTTGGGAAGGTGGCCAGCCCTCTGCCTGGCTCAGAATTGTTCATGTCAGCACCCTGATGACATTAAGTGGAGGTCCTCAGGGATCCCATACTCCAAAAGCATATAAATAATGTTGTTCCCTCCCCACCTTGTTCTGGCCCCTCTCCAGTACTCAGGACTGTAGAGATTGTGTTACACGAACAGTCTGTCTTAGTGGCTCCTTTTTGTGATATCCTCAGGCCATTCTCCATGGCACACAGCAGCAGTTTAAGTCCCTTTGTTCAGCATGAATTTATGGCTGCACCCTTCTAGCCTCCTACCTGCTAGCCCCCAGCCCTCCGTGCAGCCAAACTGAGCCACAAGTAACTTTCTAGAAGCATCCTGCAACTGTATCCTCTGCACCTCCACAAGTACCCTTCCTTTTGCCTAGAACACGTGGCACACCTGCCTTCCTGGAAAGGAGGAGTGCATCCCAGGTGCAGGATTGTTTTAGGTAGTCTTCGCCGCCCTGTTGCCTTTGCAGGGACCCAGCTCAAGGTTACCCTATGGGGTGTGTTTCCACCCCACAGATGGCGTTCATCGAGCACCTGAATGGCACCTTCCTGTTTGACAGCCTTTACGCGGAGGATATGGAGGGCAACAAGCTGTCCTACTTACCTGGCGTCGTTGAGCTCCTTGAAGCATATCCTTCCTGGTTCACAGCTGCCTTCTCAGGCATGGGCCTGGCCTGAGTGCCACCAGCCTGCCTTGAGCAAGTTTCTTCTCTGGGCCTCAGTTTCCCTATCTGTCAAATGAGACCCTAGGAAGTAAAATCCCCCTGACAGAAATGTACCCAAGAGGCAGTTCCGGCCAGGCCAGCTGAGCTGTGTGGGGAAATAGTGTCTAGATTTCAGGAGACATGTTGAGTGACTATCAGCCTGGCATGGGTCTGCTATGCTTGACAAGCCAGGTTTTCAGAAGTGGAGCAATTGAAATGTGTGTCCACGGCATTAGCCATTACTTGTTCCTGCTGTGCACTTACATTATAATTTCCTTAGGCACCCCTCTAAATGGTTACCATTAGTAACCCCATTTTATAGTTGGGGAATTGAATCTAGGAGAGGTTAAGTGGCTTGTCTGAGGTCACTCCATTAGAAGCCCGCATTTGAATGCTCTTCTGTGGGACCTGAAAGCTCATATTCATCCCTCGGTTAGCCAGAGCCCAAGGATGTGATTAGCACTTGTTGACATGGCACTGGCCATGATAACCAAACCATGGGTCATTAAATAATGAGCTGAGGGCCTTGAGGTAGACTAGAGAAATCCCAGAGCTGAGAGGCTCTGAGGTGAGACCCATCCCAGACAGGTCTATGGAGCCATTATCACTGGTGTCAACATCCAGGAAGATATGGAGATGAATCTCCAATAAAGGAACTGAAAATAGAATCACAATTTGGGACCCACACATAGACCAGGATGGCCTGGGGTACATCTGGAACAGGAAAGGCTGTGTTTGGGAAATAGTAAAGTTGCTGCATTATTTACATTCATGGTGCCAGCAGTAATGGGGTACAGCCTGTCCTCTTAACATCATTGCAGGCTGCTTTGCTGGCTTAAGCTTGTGAAACTGTGGCAGGTGAGTGTTGTTATGCAGCCAGCTGTCCTTGTGATAGTTCCTGCTATAAGGCAAATCCCGTATGAGCACCTCCTTTGTGGCCTTCTTTGGCTCTTTTGGCCAAGGTTTGTCACAGGTAGCTCTGTTTTAAATCAGACAGCCTTCACACTGTATAGAAATTCACTCAGATTCCCAACATTCTGAAAAGAATGAGATGGGCAATGGAGAACAGGGGTCTAGACCACCTCCTCACCCAGATAACCTGGGTTTACCTCTCAGATGGAGCACTGCGTGGCTATATGATATTGGGCAAGTCATTTCTTCTCCCAAATATCAGTTTCCAGCCCCACAAGATCACTGAGGTCCTGTGAGATTCATTCAACTGACCCCCAGGACTCCTCCCAAGGACTCTATATGGCAGCTTCCACCAGGCCTCTGGATGCAGAGAAGGAAACCAAGACCTAGTGAGGTGAATGACTTGCCAGGGTGAATCCCAGAAGCAACAGCAGAGCCAGGACCTGAACCTGGATCATCTGCTTTGAACCTGAGCACTGAGACAGACCCTCATCAAAGGGGCCCTCCTGGGTGACAAAAACATACATGGACTATTTCCTTGCTTAGAGCTGACTTCAGCTCCTCCCTGGATCCCAGGTCTTCAGGGAATCTCTTCCAGGGCCTAAATTTCTAAATTCCTCAGGTTGAAGGTAGAAATGCCCCAAGTACCATGTTATGCTCCAAATCACAGATCCCAGCTCTCTGACCCCAGAGTTTCTTCATTTGTCAAAGGGACCACATGCAACCATGCAGTGCATGGATTCTGTGCACTGCATCCAGCACATGATTTGCATTCTGCTAGGAATCACCAACACATTTGTTATACCCCCATGGTGACCTCCCAAGCAGCCTTGAGCTTCCTTAACAGCCACTCACCTACAAGGACAAATTTGTCATCATCTGTGTGAACATTTTTGAGTACGGCTTGAAGCAGCAGGAGAAGCGGAAGACAGAGCTGAACACCTTCAATGAGTGTGTGCAGGAGGCCATCAAGGAAAACCAAGAGCAGGGAAAGCTCAAGATTGCCAGGTTTGAAGAGAAGCACTTGCTGGTAGGTCCCCTGCCTCGTGCTATGAAGAAGCTACAACTCCTTTGCCTTCTGATGACCCCTTAGGCCCATGGTCACTGTCCCCTTTGCCCAGGCTCACATGTCCACTGAGTGGCAGAGCCAAGCCCCAACTCATCCTAGCACCAACCACAGCTCCCTGTTGCTTGAGGACTTGAGGGTCTCCATCAAAAAAAAGCCTCTGGAGTTCACAGTCATCCCCACCCCCACCATCTCATCATCATTAGCATTAATGGTATTATTATCACTACTGTGATAACAGCCATGATAATTCCTATTGCGCTTCTTTTGTTCATTCATTCATTTAGTAGGCATTTTCTGAGCCTCATTCTATGCCTGGCCCTGGGATGTTGGGGCTATGATACACATGGCTCCTGTCCTTGGGGAGCTCCCACCTGGTGAGTTGTTCAGCCTTGGTCCCAGAGCTTCCTCACCTGAGTGAGTACAATGGTCAGTGCTATTGTAGAGGGAACTTAGGGAGCTTGGGGATTCTCAGGACCCCTTAACTCAGGCTGAGGAGTCTAGGGAAGGCTGAGGCCTATTGGACAGAGTAGGCCAGGTGTGGTGAAAGAAGGGCAGCCCACCTGGGGAAGCATCAAAGGAGAAAGCCCTAGCATTCAGGACTTGGCATAAGTATGGGCCATTGGAAATGGATCAGTCTTTGTGCTTGATAAGAATTGGTTCTTTTAGTTAGCATCATTACAGTAAGCCCACCTTATCCATGGATTTATTACACATGGTTTTGACCAAGTACAGTCAAAAAAAATAAAAAGAAATTTCAAAAACAAACTTTTAAATTCCTGCACATGCATTTCACAAATGCAGAGAAGCTCTGTCAGTCCCTCGTTATTGTCAGTTGTGCTTAAATCATGTGATCTGCTGATTGTTTCCCTGTCCTTTATTTTATGAAAATCTGCCTCCCAAAAAGCAAATGGTGCCCAAAAAGCAATGCAAAAGTAAATGTGCTTAGTTTAAGTGATCAAGTAAAAATTTTAGATTTGTTGAAATGTCTTTAGCAGAAGTTAGGTGGCATTATGGGGGAAAATGATCCAAGCATCCATAGTACAGCACTGAGCTCTATACATCCTGCACAGTGTTTCCTCCATGGTGGTCTTGGAACCATAGACCTGCAGGTGCCAGGGGTCTACTGTATTATTATTATTATTATTTGAGATGAGGCTGTTACTGGAACTGATGAGGCTCTAGTGAGGAGGTCTCCAAAAGGAAGGAAGCCTCTACCTGGAGTTTGTTACATCGTAAAAAAAGAATTTTAGAACACACCAAGGTAGAGACCAGGAAAGTTTAGTAGCAAAGCAAAGCTAAGAAAGGATAGTACACATACATGGGTGTGGGCACAACTGATAACAGGTGCAATGAATGCTCTAACGTAAGTGGTATTTATGGTGAAAAAGTGGGTTGGGGGTTTGGCTTTAATTTGCCTTAGGATGAGTATTCCCCTGTGTTCTGGACATCTAGTATATTTAATCATTATCAATTGGGCCCAGAGATTTCAAGGTTGGTCTATTTACTAAATTTTGGGACATTGTGACATAGATGGCTGAACATCCCTTTAACCAAAGATGGGTTCTGCCAGATGCTCCCTTTAAGACTGGTGTTCCTCCTTAAGATAAATATTTTCATTTTCACTTTTGTGATTACAGGAGTTATTTTTAGCAAATTTTTTTTTTAACCCTAAGACAAGTGCCTTTTTAAAAGATATTCTTCCTTGGTTCCCATAGTATACCAATTCTTTGGGCAAAGTGGGAAAGGTTAGAGGGAAAAAGCTGCCCCCCCCCTTTTTATATGCTACAACATAGGGAGGGAGTGTGCAGCTAAAGCAAAGCAAACAGTGTCTGAATTCTTGGCCCCTGTTCCCCATGCCTCATTTCCCCTGATTTATCCTGTCTCAGAGTTATTATTGCCCAAACTGGTCTTGAACTCCTGGACTCAAGCACTCCTCCTGCCCTCAGCCTCTCCAGTATCTGGGACTATAGGCACACACCATCATACCTGGAATAGATATCATCATCGTCATCATTATTTTGGTAGTACTGGGGTTTGAACTCAGGGCTTTATACTTGCTGGGCAGGTACTCTACCACTTGAGCTACTCTGCCAGCCCTTTTTTGTGTTGGGTATTTTCAAGATAGGGACTCACAAACTTTTTGCCTGGGCTCCCAAGTAGCTAGGATTACAGGCATGAGCCACCAGTGCCCGATTGGTAGCATTGTTTTTAAAGACAGGATTCTAACCTGTTCTAAATTGCAGATCTTTGTGAGACTCTTAGGAATGCTTTTGACCTTCTTTCTCCTTAAAAATCTGTTCATACTCACAAATTTGCCTATAGCATAAAAAGGCTTCAAGGAGCCCATTAAAACTCCTGACTGAAAACTGAGTTTAAAGCAGAGCACAGCTTCCCTCCCCCCAGCCCCACCTCTGCCAAATGATGCTAGTTCAGATTTGGCCACCACTAACAGGGCCTCATGTTCTGTGTGATTTAATTCTTGAGATCATTCTTATTATGTTCTAAGGAGGGATATTTCTGCATTTGACCAGAAGTTTAAAACTGTCAGCAGAGGGACACATTTGGCTTCCATGTGTGTTTGATTTGGCCTACAGAGGGTTTAAAAACATCTTGAACATCCTGCTGACAGTGGAGATGGGAAGATTTCACAGGAAAATGTGGCTGCCAGCTTCTTCTCTGGAGGCAGCTGTCATCAAGCATTTGTCCTCCTTGAACTGGACAGACCACCCTCTAGTCCCTCAGTCCCTGCCCAGCCACTTCCTGACATTTCTTCCCTGGTCCCTGGAGTCACTGGGTTTGAGATGACCTGATGTCAGCCAGTGGCTCCACCTGAGACCCATGGTGGGGCCCAGCCCCCTCAGCAACAAGTCTGTTTAGAGGAGAAGCAAGACATGGCCAGGTCAAGCCTGACTGGACTGTACTGCTCATTCCATGGATCCAGAGGGTTGGCCTCAGCGCATGCTGGCTTCTCTACAGCCTTAGCAGTGACTCTTGCCCAGGCTGTACAGAAAAGTTCTGAGGCCTGGAAACAACTCGCACCAGGTCCAGGTGTACCACTCAGAGCATTTAGGGCCTGGCCTGGCACTGAGATTTTCTAGAGTTCCTCAGGTGCTTCTGATGCTCAACCCAAGTTGAGGCCACTTCCTGGAAGTTCTCAAGACCCCATGAGCTCTGAGGGCCCACAGTTCCCTGCCCGCACAAATCCCACCTTATAGCTTTGTCCTGCTCTCCTCCCACCCACCCCATTAGGCCCCATGGTTGAACTCAGCACCTGCCCCTCATGCCTAGTGAGACTTCTTGGGGTCACAGTGCAGTTAGATAAGGTTTGAGGCTAAGGCAGACCCCTCAGTGGTGACTCAGAGACATGTCATGGACCACCTTCTAGCCTCCACCTTTTCATTTATGAAATGGAGATAACTACTTGGCAAAACTGTAGTGAGGAACCAGTGAGACCCGGAGAAGTCCTTGTACCAGGCTGGGAGAAAGTCCAGGTGAAATAATGAGTAATAGACCTGTGTCATTTGTCTCACTTTTTTTTTTTTTTTGGCAGTACTGAGGTTTGAACTCAGGGCCTCAACACTTTTTGGGCAGGTGCTCTACTTCTTGAGCCACTCCACCAGCCCTTTGGCTTCATTTTTGAGAAGGTAGTTCATGTCCTCAATGGGATCTGGTCAGTCTCCCTGCCACGTGTGTGTGTGTGTGTGTGTGTGTGTGTGTGTGTGTGTTAAACCATAGTGTGCACTGCTATGCTCTTCATTATGTTATCTATGCACATTAGAGAGCCTTCCAAAACTACTAGGGAGGTTGAGGCAGAGGATCATAAGTTCGAGGCCAGCCTGGGCTACAAAGTAAGAACCTATCTGGAAAAAAAGAGTTGCTTCATTTTTTAAATAGCTATAAAATATCTCATTACATAAATGAGCCAGAGTTTATTTAACCTGTACCTGAAGATGGACCATAAGGGTTTTTTCCCAACCTTTTTCAGTTTAAAACAGTGTTCCAATGAATACATTGGCCCAAGTGCCACCTGTAGGATGGAGTCCTAGAAATGGAACTGTACATGGTTACTGTCTAGCTATACCTGCTGCACCTGTTCCTTCCACAGCCCTCCCCATTCCTGGGTCAGTCTGGCCTCACAGTAGTTTCTCATCTTTACCAATCTAGTACCCCCTGGGCATGTGTTTGCTTTCTCTTAAATTGGAGTTAACAGTGTCCATTTTACAATTATATACTTTTTCTTATTCTAGGAACTAGTCTTATGTTTTGCCTTTGCCCACTTTTCTGTTAGGTTTTGGAAATTCATTTCTCTCTTTCTCTCTCTACTTTTAAAAAAAATTATTACTTGAGCTGGCAGAATGGCTCAAGTGGTAGAGCGCCTGCCTAGCAAGTGTGAAGACCTGAGTTCAAACCCCAGAACCACCAAAAAAAAAAAATTATTACTTTAGGCTGGGGCATGGTGGTACATGCCTGTACTCCCAGCTACTAATCCTAACTATGCAGAAGACATAGGCAGGAGGATTATAGTTCAAGTCTGACCCCAGGCAAAAACATGAGACTACCTGAAAAACAGCTGAAAAGAACTGGGGGTGTGGTTCAAGTGGTACAGCACCTGCCTAATAAGGACAAGGCCCTGAGTCCAAGCCCCAGTATTGTTAAATAAGTGAGTAAGTGAGTAAATAAATAAATACTTCTTAGTAGCTCTTTATAGAAATATTAGCCCTCTGTTGATTGCAAGCATTTTCCCCAGTTTGTTATCTTTTTACCTTGTCATTTTTTATGATGCTTTTTGCCATTTAGATTTTCTTCTTTTTATGCAGTGCTAGGATTGAACATGGGGCTTCATATAACCAAGGCAGATGCTCTACCACTGAGCCACATCCTAGCCCATAAAGTTTTTATGTAGCAAAATTTATCAGTCTTTTCTTCCAGAAGTCATTGGAAAGGACTCTTAGATTATTTGTTTAAAATCCCCCATGTTTTCTTCTAGCACTTCTATGGTTTTACTTTTCACATTTGAATCTTCACACCATTGGAAACATGCCTTCATGTTTGGTTCAAGGTAGGATTGAGCCTGGTTTCTTTCCAGATGGGGAGCCATAAGTATCCTCCGTAAGTACCCTTCACTTCATTGACTCATGCCCAGTTAGCTCCATCTTGCTTCATGACTAATACAAGTGTGGACAAAAGCAAGCTGACATTATATCCATGCTGGTCATTCCTTGGCCATTCCTTGGCCTTTGCTGGTATTCAGGACTACCTAGCCCATAGGTTCCTCTCCAGCCCAGGAGCCCCATCTCCGAACAGTTCAGCATCTGTTTACCACTGATTTCCACTTGCTCCCTGGGTCTGTGTGGTTTCACTTGGTTCCCTCAAAGATTGGAACTGTCTTTCTGCTATGATTTGGTTATAGTTTGTCTCCCTCCAAACTCATGTGGAGGCCGGGTCCCCAATATGGCAGTATTGGGACTTTAAGAAGTGAGTAGGTCGATAGGCAGGACTAATGCTTTTTTCCACTCTGTGGAACCAGATGGGATACCTTTAGAGTAGGTTGTTATAAAGCAAGTTCTGCTTTCTCATCTCTTTCTCCCTTGCATCCTCTCTTGCCACGTGATCCCTTCTGCACACATGTCACTAGACACTCTCCCACATGCTCCTACTATGTAATACCATCCACCATGTTGTGATGCAGCCAAAAGACCCTCAGGAAAGGCTAACACATGGGGCAAATCCATCTTGTACTTTTAGCCTCTACAGCTGTGAGCTAAATAAGCCCCCCCCCTTGTTTTTTTCAGTACTGGGGATCCACTCAGGTCCTCATGCTAGGCAAGTGCTCTACCACTGAGTCAAATCCCCAGCCTACAAATTTTATTTTGTAAATTTTACATGTATATTGGCGCACTCACAAGAAAAATGAAGATGCAAAGAAGCAGCTAGGGTTGAAAGCTTAATATATAGTCTGAAAAGTGTGTCATTAGATGATTTTGTCATTGTGCAAGCATCACAGGGTGTACTTACATAAACTGAGCTGCCTATGACATTATTAGGTAGTAGGAATTGTCCCACACTGTTGTAATCTTGTTGGACCGCTGACATGTATGTGCATATCATCGATTGAAACATCACTGAATGGCACATGACTATACTAGATTGCACAGAGCACATTAAATTGTGAAAACAAGGCAGGCTAAAGAACCAGGCTGGGGCAGTTAGTAGAAGAGAAGTAACTAGGCAGAAAAGAGTAAGATTAACAAGGTTCATTTGTACAGATTTCCCTGGCCTTGACTCCCATCTCTGGTGATAAGAATGTCTTCCTTCCTCCTGCCACAGGGAGGGTACCTTCTCTAAGGGAGCTCCCTCTCCTGCTTTCAGGGAGGAAGGAGAGGTCAGAGTGCTCTTCTTGCATCTATTGTTACTCAAGCACCTTAATGCAAAATAATATGCCAAAGTGGCAGGCAGCTTATACAAGCTCACAGGGTTGGCAGGCAGAGCTGAGTCTTGAACGTCTGCAGTTCAACCCCAGAGTCTAAGTTTTTACCCAGAAAAACCAAATTGCCACCTACCATGAACTAACTATGCTTAACTGTTGATTACTAAAAGCACAAGCTTTTGTTTTTAGAGTTTAAGTGCCATCCGAGAAGAGTCTAAACTGCCCAACATTGAGAAGAAGATAGTGGAGTGCAGTGAGGACATCACTGAGCTGTTCAACGAGCTCATGACGCTAGAGATGCAGCTGGTGGAGCAGCTGGAGGTAAGGCCTGGCAGGGCACAGATGCAAAAACCTGGTGGTACGGCTGCAGAAGCATCACAATTGCCGCCTCTACAGGCCCCTCTGTTAGAAATGCCCAGTGTGACCCAGCATGTCCCACTGGAGCATTCTCCCTCATCATCAGTCCTCTGTTTGCCTTTTCTTTTTATTTTTTGGCAATATTGAGGGTTGAACTCAGGGTCTTGCTTACTAGGCAAGTGCTCTATCGCTTGAGCCATGCCCCACGTGCCCAGCTCTTTTTGCTTTAGTTAGTTTTGAGATAGATCTTAATTTTATGCCTTGGCTGACCTGGACTATGATCCTCCTATTTATGCTTCCTGCGTAGCTAGGATGACAGGTATGAACCATGGCACCCAACTTTTATTAGTTGAGATGGGGTCTCATGAACTTTTTGCATAGGCTGGCCTTGAACTGTTATCCTCCTGATCTCCACCTCCCGAGATGCTAGGATTACAGGATTGAGCTGCTGCTTCCAGCCTTTTAAAATCTCACTTACTAAGAGACAGGCTTTTTAAAATTCTTTATTTTTATGTAGTAGTACTGGGGTTTGAACTCAGGATCTCATGCTTGTTAGGGCAACCACTCTACCACTTGAGTCATGCCTCTAGCCTCTGTGTTTGCTTTTAATCCTTTTTTTTTTTTCTGGGATGGAATCCAGGTCCTTGAGCATGCCAAGTAGTCACTACTACTGAGCTATACCCCAGCCCCTGCTTTTAATAGATTTTAATAATTTAGATGGGAACTGATTCTTGTGGTGAATGAAAGGTGAACTCATTCCTCTGGAATGCCCCCTCCCCCCATCTTGGAAGAGTCTCCCCAGCGATCTGCAGAGCCTGCTGCTGAGCATCAAGGGAGGCAAATGAAAAACGCTGCTGTCTAAAATGCATTAGCAGCCAAGCCGACGTGTGTTCACAGGCAGCGAAGACTGGGAGTTGGAAGTGGTATGATGAATTGAACCTCATCAGATGCTGCCAAGGCTGGGCCAAGAGATAGCGCCTAATCAATTCCTCACACATCAAATGATACCTCCAACATAGGATAGATTTCGCTATGACATGACATGCACAGCAGCCACCTGCTTCTCACTGGGGAATACTCCAGCCCTGCAGAAGCAGTGTGCAGCACCAGAGGACATCCAACCTTTTCAAGCAGGAAGCTTACTTTTCAGTGTCCAAACACGTCCCAGAACCACATACTGTCCTACTTGTATTACCAGTGACCAAAGACCTGAAGAACAGTCGTGCTTTCCAGGACCCTATTTTTACTCATTTGCACACGTGAAAAATGTCTAATTTGCTCAGCCTGCAGACAGTCCTCAGGCTCCTACAAGTGCCCTCCATCTTAGAACCCCCTGCAGCCTTTGGAGTCTATGGCAAAGCAGGGGAGAGACTCCCGGGGGAGCAAACCTCACAATCCAATCTTTGATCCTTCCCTCAATCAATTCTAAATCCCATTTAGGCCTCAGGTGCCTTGCTAAGCATCAGGAAACAGTAACTAATAGTGTCAGGTCTAGGTAACAGCCAGCATTTCCTGAGGGTCTCATGTCTGCCAGGTATCTTGCAAAGCATTTTGTATGAAGTGGCTCCTTTGCCCCACCATAGCCCAATGAGACAGGTACTGCATAAGAAACCCATCTCACAGATGAGGAATTAGAGGCCCAGGGACTTGACTTTCCCAGAGGAACACACAGGTGGAGCCATTTCCTGAGAACTCCTTCCACTGTCTTTCCAAAGGTGAAGGACAGATGCCACTGAGAACTCAAAAAGGAAAGAGTTCCTTTTCTTTTGGTGGGGAGGGTAAGACCAGGACAGGTACTCCTGGCAGAGGGAGCAGAACAAACAAAGGCAGTATTAATGATGATAGTATTAAACATTCAGCAATGGGTGGAGCTGATACTGGAGAGCAAAAGAGGTTTGGAGAGAGAGGAGGGGTCAGTTCTCAACCATCTGCCTGGAAGATCCAGGTGAGTGGGTGGCCTGTGATTCCAGGAGTCAGGAGTCACTTGCTAAGTTCTTTTTCTTTTATCATTTTTACACTTACTCACATGCGTATACATTGTTTGGGCCACCTCCTCTCCCCCCACTTGCTAAGTTCTAAGCATGCTGTTTCCCCAGCAATGTGAAGAGTCTTGCTTAGCACCAAGGAGGGGAAGTGAAAAGCACTGCCATCTAAAATGCACTGAGGCTGGGCATGGTGGCTCATGCCTGTAACCAGGAGGTAGAGATCCAGGAATATTGTGTTCAATGTCAGCCTTGGCAAAAAGTTAGTGAGACCCCATCTCAATAAAAAAACTGGGTGTGGGGGCATGGTGACTATGTTTGTCATCCCAGCTATGTAGGAGAAGGCATACATAGGTAGGAGGATTGCAGTCTGAGGCAAAAGAACCCCAAAAACAAAAAGCATGAGACCCTACCTAAAAAATAACTAAAGCAAAAAAGGGCTGGGGTGAGCTGAAGTGGTAGAGCACCTGCCTAGCAAGTGTGAGGCCCTGAATTCAAACCCCAGAACTGCAAAAAAAAAAAAAAAAATCAATAAACAAAAAGTATTAAAAGATCTAAATGTACATATTAACTTTGTCCTTTATCATTTCCAGGAGACCATAAACATGTTTGAGCGGAACATCATTGACTTGGTAGGGCTTTTTGTCGAAAATGTCCAAAGCCTATATCCTTTCTGGGATGACCCCGACATGGGAGGTGCCACATGTCCTGGCCTCCAGAGTTGCTGGATGAAAGGTGCCTGTACTTTCAACAAAAGGCAGGAGAGGGCAAAGCTGCTGCAGAAACTAAGTAGCACACAAATAAGTGGGGTCCCCTTCCAGGAGGCCATCTTCAGGGTCACACACTGCCATCAGTGCCCCGCACACACGAGCAGAGATGGTAAAGTCAGCTCCATATCATGTTTCACTTTCCTCTGGAAATACCTTCTCCCTGTCTGATTTCCAGAAAGATCTCTACCTCCCCCAGAGGATATTTAAATGCACCACAAGGATCCTATTTAATGAGGATCTCCACCTTTGAAATTAGATATAAAATCTCCAGTTTCCCACCAAGGAAAAAGCTCTTTCAAAGCATGTAGACTTGACAACCACATAGAATGTTCAAAAGAATGTTCCATGTGGTCTGAGGGGGTTTCCCAACACTCAACCATGGTGGCCTTGTTAGAGCACCAGTTTGGATGCTCAGAGGGACTGCTGTGCCATAAAGTCCTGGCAGTTTGTTTTCAAATGGGTGATGTTTGAGAGGAGACAACAACCAGATCATGGCCTGCCCATGTTGCAGGCAAACAGACTCTGAGGGTGGGGCAACATCCACACTGAAGACACTGACAAATGATAACAAGCACATTAGGGTAAATGTGCAAATGACCAGCCCTTCTGCCACCTGAACTCAGGGCCCTGCCACATGGGGGGCAAACTGTAGAGCTTCACCCCAGAAGAAAGCCCTCATCCTGCTCTCCTGGAGATCAGAGAATGCCAGATAGGCAGAGGTTGTAGAAATAACAAGTGGTTCCTAGGATACAGGCTAAGTAGCAGCCAACCCAGAGGCCAGGACCTCTGAGTAAGGGTCTACTAAGTAAGGACCCCCAAGTGGCCACAGGGGACCAGATGAAAGGATGGGAGACATTCCAGCAGAGGAGGGAGGCTGGGCCAACCCAGAGGCCAGGACCTCTGAGTAAGGGTCTACTAAGTAAGGACCCCCAAGTGGCCACAGGGGACCAGATGAAAGGATGGGAGACATTCCAGCAGAGGAGGGAGGCTGTGCAAAGGCCCTAAGGATGGGTGTGTGAAGCTAATTCCCAGAGAAGGACTTCAGGCCATGTCAGAGAGTAGCAGCAACCAGGAGCTTTAAGCAGGAGACAGATGGGACCCAGCTACCTATGTCCTTTAACTCCTTCCCACTGCTGGGGAGGAGGTGCAAGAATGCAGGAAACCAATGGGGTCTGCTGCACTGTCCAGTCAGGAGGCTGTGGAGATGGAGAAGTGGATGAGAGAGCAACACTGAGGTGAGCTGGGTGACAACCAGATGTAGGGGAAGGCATGAGGTAAGGGACTGGAGGATGATCCTGTGGTTTGGTGCATGTGAATGATGACTGTGAGAGCAATGATGCCTCTCAGCACATCAGAGTTTGTTCAGCTTGGGCCCTTTAAGTCTACTCTCTTCCTGAGATGGGGTGGACTTTTGTTTGTCAGAGGCCCTAGCCACAGGTCAGAGATGTACAGGGCCTGCTCCACCATGGCTTTGCTTAACTCTCAGCTGCACAATGGCTCAGTGCCGGGACCTGGAGAACCACCACAATGAGAAGCTCCTGGAGATCTCCATCAATGTCCTGGAGAAGATCCTCAAGGGTGAGCTTGAGGAGGACCTGCCTGATGCTGTGCGTGCGGTGAGTGAGGAGTGCAGGGCTCATGTGCTGTAGGCTGGGTGTGGAGGGTGGGGCTGTGGTTTGGTGGGTGGGGCACAGTGAGCATGGGGGGAGGCAGACAGATAGAGCAATCCAGCCGAAATCGACAGCTCAAGTACGCTGGACAACCTCTCCTTTCCCATCTGCAAAAGGTGACAGTAACCGCTTTTGCAGGATTTTTTTTTTCCGGCAGCCCTGGAGTTTGAACTCAGGACCACATGCTTGCTAGGCAGGTGCTCTTACAGCTTGAGTCACTCCACCAGCCAATATTTTGCAGGTTTGTTAGTGGGTGAACTAGGCTAACAAATAAGGCACCTGGCAAGGCACCAACTAGGGCCAATTAAGATGAGCTCATGATTAGATGGTTTCAATTTCCAATAGTTTGGTTTCCAAGAGTTCAATTCTTTGAGTCTTCTGGCACTTGCTAAGGAATGCAGTTACAAATAAAGGTTAAGGTCAGAGTGTTCCCCCAGAAACCTTAACCTTAGAGTGTCTATAATGAGGAGTATTACTGGGGTGTTGGAACCACACCCAGACATCACTTCTGACCCAGCATGATGCAGCCTCCACAGTGCATCCAGTGATGAGTGGTCAGGGGATAGATGGGGCTGCCCCAGCGCCTGGCTGTGTCCTGGGTCTGTACACTAAGAAGGCGCACCCTAAGAGTGTGCACGGAAGTCATGCAGCCATATGTGTGTGTCTAGGAAGGGGCGTAGGCATAAATGGAAGGAGCAAGGCCCAGACATTTCCTCTCAGGGCCTGCTTTCACCTGTATCATCCTTTGCACCACCAGTTCCAAGCTATGTTCCACTGCCATGTCACCACCAAGCCAAGCCACTGTCATCCTTTGCCTGGCCTCTTTACTGCTCTCTCACAGGCTGTTCTCCACATGAAGAGGGATCCTTTGAAAACCCAAACCATGCCATTTCACACTTTCACACAACCCCCCTCATGACTTGCCATGACTCTTAGAGTAAGTTCTTCACCATAGGCACCAGATCCCAAGAACTAGGCCTTGGCAGCACCCCCACCTTTGATGCTCAGTGCCCCAGTTCTTGAACCATTCTTGTCTATCAGACTCACTTGTCTCAGTTGATATTCCATCTGGCAGACATACTCTTCCCCTAGGTCTCCTTGTGACCAGCTTGTCCTTATCACTCAGATCTCAGCTCAAATGTCAGCTCTTTGGAGAGGCCTTTCCTCATCATTCTCTTGAAAGCCATTGTCCTTCTATCACATACCCCCTTCATAAGGTCAGAACCTTATCGCAGTTCCAGACTCTCTGCTTTCTGCTGATTTGCTTATTGACTAGTCACACTATACATAGGCTTGCAAGGGAGGGCAGGGACCATCACCACGTGCCTCCCATTGTCAGTAACAGTGTCCAGTGTCTGGCATAGAAGCCAGGAGTCACTTGTAAGTGGGTGGGTGGGTGAGCATGCATCCACCAAGCCTCCACTGTCAGGTCCTGGACCACTCTCAGGGCCAGCATGAGCAGGTCCCTTGACCTGACTGAGAGTGACTGGGGATTGAGAAAAAAGACACAAAGACAGACATATAGAAAAGCTTGGGACCGGATGGGTCCAGCACTCCTGATGAGAGATGCCAGCAACCCCCTCCGCCTACAAGCACATTTATTTATACAGCAAGTGTGGGAAAGTGAGGTGAAGGGCAGGTCGAGTTCTCATGGGTCCAGTCGCATAGGCAGCAGGAACAGTGCAGCTGTGGCATGTTGTTATTTACTGCAGACTATCCTGACTGTGTCAACATGCCGTTTTCCCTACAAGGCAGCCTTGCTGAATCTTGCCTCCCCTTGGCTGGGTCCATGCCTATCAGCCAAGGGGCCCTTTGACAGAGCCGTGCTCATGCCAAGGTCTATCTCCACTGCCTCAGTCTCCCTACTTGCAAGGCGGCCTTGCTGAACCTTGCTCAGGGGCCTTGCCTTCTCAGCACAAAGGTCTTTGACATGGCCTTAAACCTGTCAAAGTTCTTTCTCAGTCTATTTAGTGACTGGTCTCCCACAGACCACATTCTGCAAATGGTGGCCCAGCAGTCCCTGACTCCTGCAACCTCTTTTCTGGGGCCAAAACAAACACCCAACACAGCAGCATGGTGACAGGGCCACTGTGTCATGAGCTTTCTTTTCCTAAACCACTTAATGCAGATTCCCACCAGTTAAAAGCTCCCTGAGTTGTCCACCCTTTTCTGTGGGCCCTGATGGATCTCACAAAGGAGGCCCTTGCAGCTGTAAAGGTACACTTCTTTCAGAGTGACTAATGGGGACTTTTGGGAAAGGCATAGCTGGTGCCCCTTCCTAGGACCATGGTGCTGCTGGTGTCCTGAGGATTGGCTGCCCCATGGCATGTGGGATCATCCGGTCACACCTAGTAGCCCCACAGTCCCCTCCACAAGAAGTGGCTCAGCCTGATGGGGCAGGGACATGTGCTGAGGGAGAGCCTCTTGGTCCCAGCTGGAATCTTGCCGCAGCTACCCTGTCTGCAGACTGCTGACCTAGGTCAGACCCAGCGTCTGTCCCTTGAGCAGATTCTGGGGACTTACAAGTCCTTTTCAAGGCCTGGGGCTGAGCACTGGCCCTGCTTTCCAGCTGGATACCTGCATGGATGTTTAAGCCACTGGACAGAGCATCTCACAGCCCTTCTGCCTCCTAAACTGGCAGCTGTGGCTCCATCACTGCTGAGTCCAGGCTCGCTCCTTAACTCATGCATTCTGCTTCTCCTGTCCTAGCTGGGAAGGATTTGAACATACAGACATGGGACAGATTGGACCTCATGCATAGGCTGAGCTGATAACAATCACTCAAGCCAATGAGAATTTTAGAGATAAGCTTATCAGTGTGACTTGTTAATCATGATAGTTTAGATGATCTTTAGGTAACAGACGCCAGATTTTTTTCCACCCACAGCCCTATTCCTCCTCTGAATACTACCTTCTTGCTATAGGCTCAGGAGACATTTTGTTAAAGGCTTTGAGTCAAACTGCTTGGGTTCAAGTCACTGCTGTACTGCTTAGGCAGGTTACTTTACTCTCCATGCCTTAGTTTTCTCATCTGTGAAAGGAAACAAAAATGGCTTTTTCTTCCTGCGTACCAATGGGGCTCTGCATCTGAGCTATTGGACTTCTTTGGCTTACTGGCAGGACTGTGTTGGAGGAACACTGTTGAGGCCTCATGGGGACAGTGGGAGCCTCTGTCCTCTTGGGAAGGTTGCAGCACAAGACATCCACAGGCTCACACCTGTAATCCTAGCTACTTGGGAGTCTGAGATTAGGAGGATCAAGGTTCAAGGCCAGCCTGGCAAATAGTTCTTGAGACCCCCCCAACTCCAAAATTATCAGAGCAGAATGCACTGGAGGTGTGACTCAAGCAGTAGAGCACCTACTTTGCAAGCTCTAAGCCTTGAGTTCAAACCCATCTTACGGGGGAACCTTTCCACCATGGCTGTATGTTGTGATTATGTCTATTTTCAAAATTACCATGACACCCACTTCTGAGCATACTGCCTGAGGCTCAGCCTGGGCAAGCTTTCCTCATCTTTGAACATTCCTGGAGCCCGGCTTGGGGCCTGGTACGCAGGAAGAAAAAGCTTAATGACTTCCTATTATTTCTACCATGTGACTGCGCTAATTGGTCCCCCAGTCACCTCATTCCCCACATCAGCTAACTTGGCTTTTCTCACATGGAATTCTGCAAAAAAACAGCATCCTACAGACACTCTCAAACAGTCTGCAGCCAAATAAACTGGAAAACCAGGAGAGGCACAGTTAAAAAGGTTTATCTTCCAAAGGACTTTGCAGAACCTTCAGTTCAAGATACTCTCTATGCTCTGTGATTCTTCAGTCAGAGTTTGGGGGTGCTGGCTTCTTCAGTTGTATTTGACCAAAGAATACTTTTTTTTTTTTTCAGAAATACATCTCAAGATTCCAGACAACATATTTTGGAGAACTTAATAAGTTAACTGCTACTGTAGAAAAACAAAAGAAGTACAGTTTGCAAATCCTTGAGGCAAAAATCCAAAAAGGATTTGGGAGCAAGTGGGATTTCAGATTTTCTGATTAGGGATGCTCAAAAAGTTTGTGCAAGTATTCCAATATCCAAAGGACTGCAGAGATGTAAACACTTCCAGGACCAGGCATTGTGATATAAGGAGCTCCACCTGCATACATTCACTTTCTGTCTTCTCTACATAGAAAATCTAGGTTTTTTGTTCTTGTCTTTACCAAGCACCTCTGATTCAGAGTGGAAGCTCTGCCTACAAGGGGCTTCAGCACCTTCCCCATGCTGGAAAATTACTCCATTCCAGCCACAGTGGCAACTCCTAGAACTAACCAGACCTACCAAGAGATCTTGTTTACAACACATTTTTATAAGGCAGCAAATGAGGTTAGGAACAAGAGAAAGCAAGAAACCCCAAGTGAAATCCAAGGCTTGGTTTTGTTGATGTGAGAGGCAGTGGAGAGACAAATATGAGGTGAACACTCACTAGGTTGCAGGACCCACTGCTGAGTAGCTGAGACCCTCAGCCAGCCTCGCACTTCTCACCCAGCTGGCAGAGGTTTGGGGAACCCACAGACTTGAGAGCCTCTGAGGGAGAGTAATTGTGAGAACAGATGTCCTGGGTGAGGCCACCCACTCTGGGCAGCCATCTGCCTTCTCCCTGGAGAAAACATGCTCCCAGTGAGGATTGCAGAGTAACACCTGTCACTGCTCAGGCTGGGGAGGTGGCTGTCACCTGAGGATGAGCTGGCACAAAGTGTATCAGTACAACAGTGGGCTCTCCACCAGACACGGCCTGCTCAGCTAGGGGTCTCCCAAGGGCCCCTTTTCTGTTCAGCTCCTAACTTTGTGCTCTGGGCATAATGACACATATGATCTCATTCTGGCCTTCTCACTACCAGCTTTTTGTCGACAAAGACACAATTGTTAATGCCGTTGGAGCATCGCATGACATTCACCTCCTGAAGATTGACAATAGAGAAGATGAGCTGGTGACCGGGATCAACTCTTGGTGTACACAGTTAGTGGACAAGGTGAGTAAATACCAACCCTTCCTAGCAGGCTGGGCCAACTTGTCCAGCCACCAGCAAGAGAGAACATAGACGTCTTCCCTAGGAAGTGCATGCTAGTTTCAGTAAGAAATGAAATGGAGGAAGAAATAAAGTTAAGGATTGTAGAATTCCACAGTGCAGACAGTGTTGCCCAGTCAGAGACTTTCAAACCCACATGCTTCATTGTTTCCCTAACTCCTCCTTCAAACACAGGGAGGCTCTGAGGTAAATGAGGCACATTTCCATGGTGATTTCCAAGAAGAGTTTTCCTTTCCCTCGTGCTGCCTCAATAAAAAGCAATTATCTAACTAAAGACACCGGGCTTTGGTTTCACTCTCCAGATTCACAAGGATGAGATCATGAGGAACCGTAAGCGAGTGAAGGAAATCAATCAATACATCGACCACATGCAGACTGAGCTGGACAATCTAGAATTTGGTGACATGATAGACTAGCCAGAGGGTCCCCTTCACAACACCTCACCAGCTCCCACCACAGGGAAGAGGTGGGCTCATTTCACCAACTGCCTCGAGAAACTGGGAATTCCTCAGCCCATGTGTCCCCTGGCACCATTCTTCCACCTTCTGGAAAAAGTTCTCAATGTAGAGAAAAATAAAGGACTAATGTCACCTTTCCCTTATTCTTGAGAGAGAGAGAGAGAGAGAGAGAGAGAGAGAGAGAATAGAATCCATGTTTATGTTTGAACAGGAGAAAAGATAGACAGGCACTGCAGGTCCTGGCCAGTCTACCAGAATGGAGCCGTAGGTGGTTGGTGGTCAGCTAGAGTACCAGATGTGTGCTAGTGCTGTTCCCTCAGCTGTACCCAGTGCAAGTGTAGAGTGAGCCCTTCTCTCCTTTGGGTGCTGAGGACCAGGGAAGCAGGAGAGGTCACAGCTCCCACTATAGCCCTGCAACCCGGGTTATTCTCCAGGGCAGAGACTATGGCTCCCTTTGGCTCAGCTTGGCTTTGGGGACCCAAGAACCCTCTATAAGTTAAGGGCACAGACTGGGCATCCCAGCTTGCATCACCTGTGTAGCCTGTGCTTGATCTGTGAAGCACCTTCTTAGAGATCCATGGAGGAATTCAGGGAGATAGTGTGTGGGAAGCATGGAGAGCACCCAGCATGGGGGAACAATACCCCATGGTAGGGGTGATGCCATTTCATTACTAAGGCATGTGAGGACACTGGGCTGAGAAAGCCTTTGCTGCCTAAGGACCATTCTCCTCACTGCCTTTCCTTGGGGCCCACCAGGAAGCAGCACCTGCCTGCTAGGACTGTGGAGGTGGCCATGTCAAAAGGACTGTCAGGATTCCCATGTGGAAAATGAGAAGAAACATGCGTCTGTCAGTCAGCTTTCTGTCACTGTAACAAATACTGGACACAACACAAAGTTTCAGAGGGTCCAGTTCATGATTGGTTGGTCCTGTTGATATGGGGCCTGTGGTGAGGCAGCAGACTATGTCAGGAGCACAGTGGAGCAAAACCATTTACCTCATGGCCAAAAGTGAAAGGGGAGAAAGAGGATGTGGCTGGGATCCCATAATCCCCTTTAGGACAACCCCCCGACCAGTGACCTAAAGACCTGTCATTAGGCCCCCACCTCTTAAAGTTCCACCACCTCCAATAGCACCACTCTAGAGACCAAGCCTTAACACATGGGCCTTTGGGAACATTCCAGAACCACACTATAGCACTGCATGTCAGGTGACCTTGCCAGGTCAACCAGAGCTTTTAAACCAGAAACTATTATATTTTCTGTTTTCAAGAGTAAATCAATTTTTCTAGAATAGTAGGAACAAATAGAAACAACCAGCTTAGACCAAGGATTCACTTTCAAAAGACCATTTGATGAAAAACCACTGAAAAAAGCCTTCAGGCTGAGAGCTGAAGACACAAAGAGAGTTGTCTGTGGAGACATGACTACCTCCCCAGCTTGAGGTTCCCAGCCACAGGCAACAGATACCAAAATGTGCCATGAGAGATAAACTGTTCAACCTTGGTGACAAAGCTCAGACAAAACAACAGCAATGGAGAAATGCAGAGGCACAGACCAAAACAAGGCTCAACAAGTTTCTGCAGTGGAGCAATATTTAATAAAATCAAAATGGAGAGAAAGTCATTTGTATAGCTCATCCCCTCACGTGCTGCTGGCCAGGCGCACCTGGTTTGGAATCAGGCTGACCTCCAGACAGCCACACTGTGTCTCTGGGCGTCTCAGGGTGACGCTGAGTGGGGCCAAGGTCCAAAGACCAGGAGAGCCTCCAGGTATGGCTGGGGGAGCTCTGCAGGTCCAGGGATCCCACAGACAGGAAGGGTCAGGCTGGGGAAGCTGCAGCTGTGCTGGCTCCATCCCAGCTGGCACATGCAGTGCAGGCTTCACTCCTGCAGGAGCTTGTGCTTGACTGTGGTGCTCTCCGAGCAGAGGTGGATGAAGAGTGTGCCAGCCGCAGTGCGGGCCCGCAGTTCCTGCAGCTCATAGTCGTGGGCCCACTCAATGTTGCCCCACTTCTGGATCTGAAGGGAGGACAAAACAAGCTGCTGGATGAGTGGCCTGGCTTAGTGGATTGCTGACCAGAGCCACCTTTCATTTTCATTGCTCAGCTGAAGGCAATAGGTCCTGATTGTGCCAAAACATGTGACATGTCAGGGACAGCAGGTTAAGACCACCCAGGGGGCCAGAGAGGTATCTGTGTTCTCTGGGGTGTAAAGGGTCTGGAAGAGTGCAGTGGCTGCCTACTGCTGGACAGGCTGGGCACTAGACCCACACATCTCCTATGAGGGAGCCCAACACACATGCTATCTCTTAGGATAGCACCAGGAGGACAGTGTGAAGCAGCCTGCAAACATCATCCCCAAGCAGGACTACAGGTGCTGCCCATGGGGGTGGAATAAATAAAAGGGCATATGTAACATCAGTTCTAATCAAAACAGAACTGTAGAGGCCCTGCTCTACAAACTGGGTGAAGGCTGCATACTCTCCAGGACTGAAAACAAGATGGAGGAACCCACAGGAACCATGACTGTCAGACATTAGTGTGACTCTTAATCCAACCCAACCCTGCTGGCTACCCCAGCCCCAGCTTGCCCAGGAATGCAGAATCTGCCAGGCCATAGGAGCTACCTGCATTTCTGGCTGTGCAGTCACACTTTACACAACTGCAATAGGTCATCTGAAAGTGTTTTTACCTTCATTTTATACCATTGCATTCATAGTCAATGGTTATTCGTCATTTTGTACAGGACAGACACCAAAGTTCAAAGGATGAAAGCCTGGCTTGGATCCCACAATTGAAAGCAGAACCCAGACCAGAAGCCAGATTTACTGTCTCTGTACCAGCTCTACAACCCCCACATGGAACCCCTTTCCCATGAGTTCCGTTTTGACATCCAGAGAATATCTAACCGCCTATGATGTACAGAAAGTATTTTCCCTGGCATTTTCCTAACTAAATAGTCCAAAAAAGTTTTTCTTTTTAAATCATATTAGGGATCAATTCACAGTAGCAATTAACCTTTTGAAGTTGGAGGGATAACAACCTCTACAACAAAAAAGACTGAAAAAAACACCATGATTTTCAGTTAAAAGTGCAAATGATAGCATAGAAAAACCTTAATTGTGAATCTGCTAAATCAAAATTTGTGTGCAAACAGCAGCTACCCCCATGCTCTTCTGCCAGTCAAATGAAATTTCAGGATATAAATGCCTAGAGGACTGAAGAGCACAAATGGGACCGCTATCACTTTAGCAGACCTGTTCTACAGGATGTGTAAGGCCCAAAAATTTGGGGTTTTTTTGTTTAGTGCTACTGGTGTTTGAGCTCAGGGCTTCACACTACCTACACAGGCTCTCTACCACTGCACTATGCCTTTAGCCCCAAAAGTGTTTGGGTTTTTTTGTTTGCTTGTTTTTCTTTGTGGTACTGGATTTTGAAATCAGGGCCTCACACCTGCTAGGCAGACACTCTTAACACTTGAGCCATGCCCCCAGCATTCCAAGAGTTCTTTATCGGCCTGATCATGAACCTCTAAATGCAGCACAGCTACTGAAAGCCTTGGCCTTGGTCATCCACACCTGGCTGCAGAATCTAACTGGAACATTTTCCAGAGGTATGACCTAGTACCTCAGTTTCCTCCTGTGTAAAATAAAGGTAAGCATAGCTTCTACCCAATCAGGCTGTTGAGAAGAGGAGGTGAGGGGATAAGGAGAGTGCTGAGCATTTTTTTTTAACTTTTTTTTTTTCTTGTGGTTTTGGGATAGAAACCAAGGCCTCAAGCATGCTAGACAAATACTGTGCCAATGAGCTATAACCCTAGCCCTTACAATACTTTTATTGTTACTTGGTTTGGGTTTCTGTATATGCATAATAATAAAGGCCAAGTTTATATAAAAATATTTCAGGTAGGTTGGCCACCCTCTTTCAGGTTAGTCTGAATTAGGAAGGGGTAAAGCAGGGACCTGAGATCAGCACCTCACCTGGTACTCTTCCTCAAGGCGTGACAGCAGTACGGCCTGCTCTACCGTCAGGCGCAGGTCAATCAGACCCAAAGTCAGCACCACGGACTTGAGCTGAGCCACTACAAACTCAATTCCTACAGGAATGCAAACCAAGTCAGGACTGGAAATAGGGCAGCTGTGACAACCTACCCACCCCCTTGTGAATCCTTGCCCCCTTAAAGAGAACAAGAGAATGGGGCAAAGGCCTGGAGGGGAAGCCATCCCAAGCCCACCTAGGGTTAGCCCACTCTTCTGAAAGAAAACTCCAGCTTTCCTTCTGGTGACCAACCTCTGCGTGTCCCTGGGTAAACACATGACCTGAGTCTGGCCAATCACAGCATCCCTCAAACTCCCACCGTGACTGGCTTGCTGGTGGGCATATGACCCTAGCCAGGCCAATCATACATGAACTTGAGGCTTCTGGAGAAAAGAAACCCAACTTTCTGTTAGAGTGTGTAAGCCTGGAGTGCTAAGTGAAAGGTTAGCATCAGAGCCAGCCCATCTCTGTGCTCAGAGCACCACATCAGGGGGTGTGGCAACCTGCAGCATGCCCACCACCCCCAGGCCATGGAATCTCAATGTATACCTTGTAGGGCCCACATGTTGTAAGACGCCAAGTGGCTGATGAATACCTCCCGAGTCTTGGTGGGGATGTTGGGTCCCATTATGCTGGTGGAGGAGCCAATCTCCACTCCATATCTGAAAGGAAAAAGCATTAGCATGACCCTGGCACGCCGTATCCCAAGAGCAGTCCAGTTTTTGACAGGAAGACCTAAACATGGCATATGGCCACGGGGCTACTCTTGGCAACTCTGGGAACAACTGCTACTGTGGTCATGCCTCCCGACCTAACTTTATAACCCCTAAAAGCAAATCTAGAAGAGCAGGAAACTGCCCTGAATAATGGCACATTGCTAAGTCCTGTGATGCATAGCTGTCTAAAGTGAAAAGTCACCTGCCTAGAATCCCCATCAAAAGTGTGGGTAACCTGTTTTTCAAATCTTTTTAAAAAGTGTTTCACATTTGAAGTCATAAAAGATTTCTTTTAAAATGGGGCGCCAGTGGCTCGCACCTGTAATCCTAGCTACTTGGGGGATTGAGACCAGTAGGACTGAGGTTCAAGGCCAGTGAAACCCCATTTCAACCAACAGCTGGGTGTGGTGGCATACACCTGTCATCACAGCTATATACAGGTGGCTGACAAGGAAGGATCATGGTGCCAGGCCAGCTTGGGCAAAAAAAGTTCACAAGATCCCATCTCAACAGAAAAAGCTGGTCATGGTAGAGCGCCTGTAATCCTAGCAACAATGGGAAGCCTAAAATAAGAGAATCATGGTCCAGGCTTAGCTGGGCAAAAAGTGAGACCCTATCTCCAAAATAACCAAAGCAAAAAGGGCTGGAAGCTTGGTTTTAAGCAGTAAAGTGCCTGCCCCACATCTGAAGCACTGAGTTCAAACCCCAGTACTACCAAAACCATAAAAGATTTCTCTTAAATACTGTTTTCCTTAAAATAATGTTTGAATGTAATATATCATTCAATGTTTTTTTTTTCCCCAAAATATTTATCAAGCCTCTACAACATACAAGTCATTGGTTTTGATCTGTGATCTCTGGGACATAGTTGACTTTGACAGAAAATAGAAGTTCAAGAATAACCGTAATTAGAAGGCTAGGAATATAACTTAGCTGTAGAGCACACGCCTACCATGCACAAGCCCTGGGTTCGATCCCCAGACCACACATGTCTAACAAAAAGAATAATCATAACTATATAAAATATAGGAAAAGCATATATAATGGGGAATAAAACAAGTTTTGTTTTTTTCTATTGTTTTTAAGATACCCTTGATGAAATTTTCTGTTTCTTTTTGGTGGTCCTGGAATTTGAATTCAGAACCTTGTGCTTGTTAGGCAGGCACTCTGCGCTTGAGCCATGCCTCCATCCCTTTTTGCTTGGTTACTTTTCAGGTAGGGTTTCACTTTTTGCCCTCGCTGCAATCCTATTTGATGCTTCCTGCCATAGGTGAGATGACAGGTGCATGTCACAACACCCAGCTTTTTCTATTAAGATGGGGTCTGGTTAACTTTTTTTTGCCTAGGCTGGTCTCTAGAACTACAATCCTTCTGATCTCAGCCTCTTATGTAGCTGGAAAGACAAGAGTGTGCCATTGTGTCCAGCTATTGGTTGAGACAGGATTTCTTGAACTGCCCCCCCCACACACACATACACCCCAGGGAGGGCTGACCTTAAACCATGATCCTCCAGATCTCAGCCTCCCAATTAGCTAGGATTACAGGCTTGAGCCATAGGGCCTGATCTTATTTTTACCTTTTAATGTTTTTGACACAGGACCTCATGATGTAGCCCAGGCTAGCCTCAAACTTGTGATACTCCTTCTTTAGCCTCCAGAGTGCTGGGATTACAGACATACACAACCACATCTGGCTCCTTACTGAAAATTTTACTACTACAAAGTGAATGTAGAAAATAGCTCGATTTTTCTGTAAACTTTTAAGGATGGGACATCTCAACTGATACAAAAACTTGACTTTGTACTATAACAAAGATCTCTAGGCACCTAAGTTAGTGTTATAGTTCATTAGATTCCAAAACATCATTGTATCTTCATATTTTTCACTTAATATCATAGTTGTTTCTTTTTCCTTATCCTGTAGAGCACTGGCTCTGCCTTTTCCTTTAAAAACGAGGCTGTTGGGCTGGCAGAGTGGCTCAAGTGGTAGAGTGCCTGCCTAGCAAGTGTGAGGCCCTGAGTTCAAACCCCAGTACCACCAAAAAAAAAGAAAAAAAAAATCCCAGGATGTTAGAGTGCCAGCTTTGCAAGTTTGAAGCCCTGAGTACTGCCAAAATAGAAGCAAAAAAAAAAAAAAAACCAGATGTAGCTGGGGGTGTGGCTCAAGTGGTAGGCAAGCATGAGGCCCTGAGTTCAAAATCCAAGTACTGCCAAAACAAACAAACAAACAGGATGCCTGGGCCACTGTGAGCACTCAGGAAATGTGTAGCAAATGAAGGGGACAGTCTGGTGGATGGTGGATAGTGGATATCACTTCTATGAAAAAATACTAAGGCAAAAAAAAATACTCAAGGTAAGTTACAAAACACTGTGGACAAGGCAGTACCAGAAAAGCTAGCCATTCCTTTGGAACTGAATTTATTTTGCAGCCACATCAATAGTCTTCAATTTTGCACTCACAAGAGTCTTCCTGTTAAGGGAAAATATTGGATATTATCAATTCCTAGAAACCACATATTTATAGGACGTTACCCATAATTTTGCAGGAAGCTATCCCATTTCCTGTCCATGTGCATATGTACCTTACATACTATTTGGTGAATTTATTTAACAGCACAGTAACTGTAACAAAGATAAAAATAACTGCTAAAATTTGAGCACCTGAGAGGTAGAACTGATTAACCCCACTTCCAGACAAGGAAACTGAAACTCAGAAACAGCAACTTACTAGCCCAAAGTCACACAGGCAATAGTGGCAGAGCTGAGACTCAAAACAAACACTGCTGTCCAGCCTCCCTTGAACAGAGGGCCTGGGGCTTCTGGTGCTTCCTGGGGACACAGAGCAGCTCCTATGAGCCACACAGTATGTCCCAGTAGCAGGTGCTTTGGGCATGGTGTCCAAATTGATTTTTTTGTTTGTGGGGGCTACCGGGGCTTGAACTCAAGGCCTTCACCTGAGTCACTCCGCCAGCCCTTTTTGTGATGGGTGTTTTCGAGATAGAGTCTGGCAAACTATTTGCCCGGGCTGACTTTGAACTGTGATCCTCCTGATCTCTGCCTTCTGAGAGGCTAGGATTATAGGTGTGAGCCACCGGTGCCTGGCCCAAATTGAATTTGAAGAACATTTTTTCCAAGGCAAACTTGAACTAAAAAAGTGGGCTAGCTAAGGGTTTTCAGTACCCAGTATGACCCTGACCCCAGCACCCGCCCAACACTGGTCCAATCAGTGTTTTCTGCAACGCTACACATCTTACCTTTTCTCAGCCCATTCTATAATTGGATCCCACTCGTTCTTTTGGAGTTCCACTAATGTCTCTGGCTCTTCCACCCTGTAGCTAATTCATTGTAAAAATCACCTTCATTAATAAAAAAGTACAATTCCTCCATTCAGTAACAAAAAAGGGAAACACAAAGAGCAACAGCAAAAACTTCCCACCACCAACCCAGTACCACAAGTTTTGTCCCTAAAGCAGTGGTTCTCAAAGTGTGCCCTTGGAGCCAGAAGCATCCAAGATGAACTCACACCTGTGGAAATCAGAGTCTCTGGGGCCCAGTCATCTATTCTAACAAGCCCTCCAGGGATTCTAGTGTGAGCTTGAGCTTTGGAATCAAGGCTCTAAAAGCCCCCAAATACTTGACAGGTCCAAGCTTGCAGCATAGTATCAGTGCCGCTTGAAAGCAGATTCAGTCTAATAACTGCACCAGGGATCCACATCCACTGAACAGGATCACTGTGCTAGAAGCTTAGCAATGGCATCCCTGCCCTAACCCCTCCCAAGACCCCACGCTCCTGGCCACAGACTGATGCTTCTTGACACGGCAGGAACCCCGCCACCTCTTAGTTCAGTCATCTGACTTGAGGGGACCACCACAGAGGCCAGTCTTTGCCACTTGTTTTGACCAAGAGACACAGTTGAGTATGACAAAAGATGAGCTACAAAGCCTCAGAACTGTCAAGTAGGTTGCCTTCCCTCCCTCCTGCCTCTTCTTCCACTGGCAACTCTCTGGGAAAATGTGGCAAAGTAGTCCAAGGGGCTCACTCAGCCCAGAGGGATCGCTTATCTAAATGCCAATTACCAGATGGTGTCTGTGTCCAGAAACTTCACAGCCGCCCGGATCAGCTGGTCCTTGTTTCGCTGGGTAGGGTTGTCCAAGGATGTGTTGCACAATGTGGTCTGAATCAAGATGCAGAAAGTGCCCTGTCACCCCCTACGGAGCTCAGGCAAAAGCTGTTCTCCTGAGGACACTGCATCTGATGCATAGCAACAGGGGGAGAACAGGACAGAAACACACTAGAGTCCTTGGATGAGATGTCCTCATAGCCATGGCAGCAGTACCTCTATAAGGCATGTTTGGCGGCAGGCTTCATGCTCACAGCTCTGTGTGTAGTAGTGAACTTTCCCAAGGTCCCAGGCTATTTATTTATTTTCATGCTCATTACTACCATGCTCTGCTTTGTTGAATTCTCACAGCAAAACTTTGGAGCATGTTCCATTATTATACCCATTTCAGAAATGTGGAAACAGGCTGAGAGAAGTGAAATACATCCTCAAATACAGTAAACAGTCTTAGAACTCAAATCAACTGAAAGGCTTTTACCAGCTAGCTCCCTTACCACTTTAGAAAGTAAAGAAGCATCAAATTGGGGTCAGGATTATTTTTCTAGATTTCCCTTGTCAATAGGAGGTATCTTAAGTTACTCTAAGCATTAATCTGTGGCCCTAATCACCCTAATCAGCAATCAAGGACCAGTTGGCAGCATCTCAACAGCTATGCTGTTGTGAGGACACCCACCTAGGTTTGTAGGTGAGGAGTGAGCACAGCAATGACCAGGATGAGAGCAGTTAACTCCAGCACTGTCTGGGTGTCCATGCCGTGCCAGGAGCCATGCTGAGGGCTTTCCAAGTGCCACCTCATCAAATTCTGACCACAGCTCCATGAAATGGGTACTGTTATCACTCATCTTCCACAGACCAGGGAAATGGGACAAAGAAAGCAGCAGTAACTTACCCAGGGCCATGTATGGAGTCTACAAAAGCTGAACTTGAAGAATCTGCCCTCCCCTTGTCTACTCTAGTACCTCAGTGGGTCACCTGTGTGTGAAGAGGGGGCTGGCTCTATCTATAAGGTGTCTTCCTTGCCTCTCCCACCTGGCTCCTTGATTTGTACATCCAATCAATATTTACTGAGTGGCATCTAAACTTCCTGCTGAAAGTAACATAGACATGGCCTCTGCCCTTCTATCATCATCAGGCAGGGGAAGAAACAGACAATAAATGTGCAATCATAAAACAGACCATCACCGATTGTGTAAGTGCTGGTGGAACAAATGACCAGTGGCTATAATAAAAAATAAAAGAGCTGAGCAATCTTCAAAGGTGACATCTATTCTCAGACCAGATAAGGAGCCAGTCACCCAACACAGTGTTCCAAGCAGAGGGACCTGCATGTGGCCAGTCCAGACAGGGAAAGAGCCTGACTGTTCAATGATTGAGAGCTGGTGAGTATGGCTGCAGTCCAGGCAATCAGGAGCCCATCCCTTTCAGGGCCTTATCACAATTTGGAAAGGAATCTAAATTTTTGCCAGGCAGCCTAGGAAGCTGGCAGGGAGTGATGAGGGTGAAAGTTTGCACTGTGAATTTTTTACCAGGTGCATAGTGTAGAACTTGACGGTATCCTGCTGGGAGTCCCATTCAGTGGCGACTGCAATAGCCAGGGCCTCACTGGGAACAGTAAAGAGCTTGGCTTGGGGAGTTTTCAGCTTCCTGTGGTCCAGGTTTATCTCAAAGCCGCCTTAAAAGATCAAATGAAAAACTCTCAGGGATTGTGAAGTGGAATCAAGTGACCAACCATTCCTATATTTAGCCACTTGAATTGGTGCACACAAAGACAATATATGACAAAAGCGCCAAGGATAATCCTGCCACTGAACCGGCTGGAGATGAAAAATGTGTCCTACCATTCACAAAAAGAAAAAGGAGGCAGTCAAAATTTCAGACACTCACCTTCACCCTGTGTGATGCTGACATTCTGATAAAACCTCTTCCTTTCTGTAAGACATATTTTTCAGACAGGCAGTTTAAAGCAGCATTGAGAGGACTCAGGAGGGAACAAGACCAGCTTGTAGCATTACTGCTAATGCTGATTGATTGGCTTGATTTTCATATCACCATTCAAGGTCTGTCCTAGTCTACATGTAATCAACAGCCGCTGATTAAAGCTGGGGGAGGGAAGCGTCCGCTCTCCAGGGACTAGAGAGGAACAAGATGTGCTGGTCTTGCCTCTGCCAGTCCCCCTGCCCAGGGGCAAGTCCGATTGGGAGCCTTCCAAGCTGCAGACTGTGTGACCCGGCTGCAGACTGTGTTACCTGAGGATTTCCAACACCCTCTGCTTTAACATCTAAGCATGCCCCCCTCCTCCATCCCCAGGCCAGAACAATGCACCAAATCTAAAGTTGGTGTCTGAATGGGTAAAGCTGGAGACCCTTTTCAGGCAAGGCTCTGATACCTCTGAGAAGGGGTCAGTGGGAAGTCAGAATGTGTGTGTGTGTGTGTGTGCATGTGTGTACATGTGTGGCGTGCAGGCAGAAAGTAAAGCTCCCAGGAGCATTTCCCATCCTTTCTCTCTAATTAATTAACCTAATTAACTAGCTTGCTTGTGTATTCAACAGGAACTCCAAACACTTCCTTCAAGAAGGGGGAAAATGGGCTGGGCACGTAGCTCAAGAGGTAGAACACTTGCCTAGTAAGGCCCTGGGTTCAATCCCCAGTGGGGTGGGGGCTGGAGAAGAAAGAAGGAGGTGGAAAATCTATGTCTTATGTTTTCTCTAGACTATGAAAATTTGGAGAACTTAATGTGTGTGCAAGGCAGGAGGGAAGAACGCCTGCCTAGCAAGGGTGAGGTCCTGAGTTCAAACCCCAGTGCCGCCAAAAACAAAAACAAACCAAGGCAGGAGGGAAGAGTAACAGAGAGAGGGCATCTGGCTTTACTAGAAACATTACTTTTATGTTTCCAGTATCATCAGTCATTTGCATAAATCTCACTTGCTGTCATTAATGCTTAAAGAAAGGAGACCCAAAACTGCATTTCCACATTGCACTTACAAAACTGAGGAGACTCAAACTGCTTTCCCACAAAACTATTTGTACGTCCACTATGTGCCAGGCACTATTCTAGGCACTTAGAATACAAAAGTGAATAGATAAAAATCCTTTCTTTAAGCACAAAGCCCTGAGTTCAAACCCCAGTACCACCAAAATAAAACAAAAAATTCCTGCCTGGCACCTGTAACCCTAGCCACTTGGGAGGCTGAGACTGACAGGACCACAGTTCAAGGCCAGCCCAGGAACATAGTTTGCTAGCCACCATCTAGTACCAGAGCAAAATGGACTGCAGGTGTGGTTCAAGCAGTAGCATACCTGCTTTGCAAGTATGGAGCCCTGAGTTCAAATACCAGTCCCACCAAAAAAAAAAAAAAAAAAAAAAAAAAGTCCTTACCTTCATAGAATTTAAATTTTTTTTTTTAAGTGATCAGAAACTAGGCACAGTGGCTCACTCCCGCAATCCTAGCTATTCAAAAGGAGGCGATCGAGAAGATTGTAGTTGAGGGTCACCATATTTCAACCAATAATAAGCTGGGCATGGTGGTACACACCTTCATCCCAATTGCACAGGAAGTGTAAATAGGCAGATTGTAGTCCAGTCCAAATGCAAACGCTGTGAGAAAATAACTAAAGCAAAAAGGGCTGGGGGCATGACTGAAGAGGGAGCGTGCCTACCTAGCAAGCATGAGGCCCTGAGTTCAACCCCCAATACTGCCTCTCAAAAAGCAATCAGATCTGGTCACCGAGATGATACACAATTTACCATCTTCATGTGAAATCATAACACCAATTTTGTCCATATTTGAGGCAAAAACTTTCCCTCACCATAGTTTTTAACTTTCCCTACTTCACCTGCTGCCCTGGTCATATTCAAATGGCAGCTAGACAGGGGTCAGAGGCCTCCTTTCCTATCTCTGGTCTGGACTGACTATCTAGGCTATGGTTGTTGTTTTCTGGTGCCTGAGCTTGGCAACATGTCCAAAAACCTGGGCAGGCAGGAGCTGGGCAGAGCTCTGAGCACTCTAACTCAACCCTGGAGAAGGGTCTTCCCACAGCAGCAGGAAGTACCAGTGAGCATACACACAGCTTGACACAGGTCTTGGAAATGGGCCCCAAGAGACTGGAGAAGAGGAACAGACTCAGGCAAAAGCTGACAGCACAGAGCCCAAACTCCAAATGCTTCCAAGACAGCTGGGCTTCTTATGACAGAAGTCTTTTTTTCTGCTTTGCTGGCCAGGGTCACCTCTGTATCTCAATAAGAAAATGCTGGAAGGTAATAGGATGAATGGAGGGGCAGGGAAGGAACTACCAGCATTGCTCAAAATGGGAGAAACCTGTGCAGAAAAAGAGATGGCAGAAAGGTAAAAGGTTCCCAAGAGGTGCGGGTCCTCAGATTTGAAGGTGGGCACATGTGTGGGTGGGTTTTAGACAGAGCTCTTCTGAATGATGTGCTGGTAACACCAAGGAGCATACTTGATCATATTCCAGACTATGGGGTAAGTTTTGGGAGTAGGATGTGTCCTTGATGTCCTTGAGGATTTATCGTCTAGTAGGAGACAGACACTGAACCAGATAAATGCTCAGGTGACTTTAGTAATGGTGATAGTATGTGGGACAATGGGAACACAGACTGGGGGAAGCTGATCTCATCTTGGACTGCAGAAAGACCTCTGAGCAGCCAGATTTCATCTGTGAGCCAAAGAAGAGGTAAGAGTTGCCAAATTTTACTGACTGACTGGTTTTGGGAGGAGGTGTGTAGAAGTAGATTCCAGAATTACAAATGGCTACATGAAGGTCCAGGCTTCAGGAAAGCACAGAGTTTTGAAGAGCTGAGACAGCCAGAAGGAGAAACTGCAGCTATCCAGCAGAGAATGGTTAGAGATACCCAGAGAGAGCAGCAGGGGTCAGATCTGCAGAGACTGGGGAACATGTAGATCACAGTGAGGAGAACAAAAAGAAACACAAAGACAAACAGGAACGTGATCTGGAAATTTATTTGGTGGAAGCTAGGAGCCCCAACAATGTGAAAAAGACAGGGGTTCTTTGTTTGGGCTCTCAAGGGTCATGGGCTATACAGACAGTCCATGAGACCACTGGGAGCCTGTGAAGCTCTCATATTCTCAGCAAACACAGGGTTTGCTAACATCAACAGGAACTCCATCTTTAAAGATGAAAGAAACAGCCATGTTTTGTAGGATCCTACAGAACTGGAGCCTATTTTGAGGATAAATCACTCCCTTTACAGAACACTTGTGGCAAACACATACATAGTACTTTTTTAGAGATAGTTTTATTTCTACAGATGCAAAGAAATGGATAAGTGAAAAAGTATTTAAAGAGCTGGCCATGCTAAGAACATGGCTCAAGTGGTAGAGTGCCTACTTGGCAAGCACAAGACCAGTATTGCTCAAATACCAGCACTGCCAAAACCACAACAACAACAACAACAAAAAAAAAGAGCTGGCCATAAGAAAACAGGTGGTATAAGCAGAGAACAACTTTAAAAATCTGCACATGTAAAGAGTGCTGAATAGGAAATTATCGTCCATTGGGATCCCTTTTTCCTATGAAGTAGTTTCAATCCATACAAAGAAACAGCAGTTTTCTTCTGTGTCATTTCCCCTACATTCATCCTGTCCCAGTCTTCCTAGACTAGCAAGAGGTCTTTTGATCAGTCACAATTTCTAAACTGGCCTTTTCTTTAGACTACCTCAATGCCTTAAGAACTACAATTCCCACAATGCACCAAGAGGAAGTGCTAATCTCAGAGCTGGTTAAACACTTTTAGCTTTTAAAACAGTGCCATCTGGAGGGCCTTGAAACTGAAAACTGAAATTCTAACTGGGAAATGACCTTCCATCTGTAATCCTAGGGCTGCTCCAGTCAATGGCTTTTGGGTGTTGAAATTCTTCAGTGCAAATACATAAAGAACTCCTTCAATGCAGCATTAAAAACACAAATAACCCAATTAAAAATGGACAAGGGAGGGGCTAGAGGAGTGGCTCAAGTAGAAAGATCACATGCCAAGGAAGTGTGAAGCCCTGAATTTAAATGCCAAAAAAAAAAAAAAAAGACCAAAGGATCTGTTTGCTAGGCAGGTGCTCTACTACTTGTACCACTCCACCAGCCCTAGACCAAAGGATCTGAATACACATTTCTTCAAAGAAAATATACAAATGAGCAAGAAGAATGTGAAAATATGCTTGGTATCATTTATCATCAGGGAAATGCAAGCCAAAACCACAATGAGCCATATGTGGTAGCCCATACTTGTAATCCCAGCACTCAGGAGACTAAGATAGCATAATTGGGAGTTGAAGGCCAGCCTGGACTGCATAGTGAGACCCTGTCTCAAACAAACAAGCAAGCAAACAAACAAACAAAGCCACAATGAGATACCTCTGCACACACTTTAGGACGGCTGTAATAATGGAAAAAAAAAAGGTAAGGCGTTACTATTTGACCCAGCAATTCTACTCTTAAGTATATGTCCAAAAAAAATAAAAAACATAAAAACCCACACAAAAACTTGTACACAAATGTTTATAGCAGCATTATTCATAATAACCAAAGGTGGAAATAACCCATATAACCCATCAATAAATGAATGGATAAATACAATGTAGTATATCTAAATAACAGAATGTTATTCAGCAATAAAAAAGAATGGAATACCAAGATATGATATAACATGGATAAACCTTAAAAACATTGTGCTAAGTGAAAAGAGCCTGTTAAAAAAGACCACAGGAAATCTATAAAGGTAGTAAAATACCAGTTGCCTAGGGTTGGAGGGGTGGAAAGGGTAAGGGCAGATGATAGATAAAGCATACAGATTTCTTTTGGACATGGAAAAAATGTTCTAAAATTGATTGTGGTAATAGTTGTACAACTCTGTTAATACACTAAATACTGAATTTACTCTAGGTAAATATACTCTATGGTAAGTGAATTATATCTCAAAGTAGCTTTTAAAAATTTCTTCCAGCCAAATGTATAACTACACTATTTTCCAAATTGTTCTTCATCTAGAGCAGGGGTTGTTAAACTTTTTCTGCAAAGAGTCAGATAGTCAATATTCTAGGCTTCAGGCTATATGGTCTCTGTTGCAACTACTCAACTCTGCCCAGCCACAGACAATATACAAAGAAATGAGTGTGGCTATGTCCAAATAAAAGTTTGTTGACAAAAACAGGTCTGATCTAGAAACTATACAATTTCTCTCAATCCATACCACAACCTTATGAGGAAGGCAGGGCAGGTAATGCCTCTAAGGTGATAAAGACTCTGAGGAGGCCTGGCGGAGTAAAGTGGTAGAGCACCTGCCTAGCAAGCATGAGGCCCAGAGTTCAAACCCCGGTACAGCCAAAGGAAAAAAAAAAAAAAAAAGACTCTGAGAGCTGTCTTGTCCAGTCTGGCAGTGTGTAAAGACTTCCAGCCTTGACTTCTTTGGGCATTTGCATTCAGCCAGATTATGCTGCTTATCCAGAACATTTCCTCTTCCAGGCAGTTGACAGACCTCGGACAAGAAGATACAGCGCTGGAGGGTCACAACTTGTTGCATCATCCCTTCTCCAATACCTCAGTTACCTTTTCCTAAACCCCTCTTTCCTTCTGATGACCTTCAGTGGTATGGCTAAGTTCAAAGAGCTTGTCAATTGAAGTCTTCATCAAGAAGGACCCATGTGAGTTTAATTTTCCACCACTCCAAAGATGCACAAAGATTCCCCAACTGGTAAGGTATTTGTACAGTACAAGGCCTGAGTGATTCATCCATTTATCCACTGCTATTTTCTTTCACATGTGACTACTTGCCATGTGCCAGATACTTTCAAGAGCCTAACCTATAAACCAGGTGTGCACCACACCAGCCTCCCTTCTTCCTCTTTTCTGGCTCTGCTTAGCCCACCTCTAGGCCTTCATTTGGGCCCTGACAGATGAAACCTCAACTCCATGCTGCATCCAGCCCTCCTTCTCCATTTTTGTAAAATTATGGAACTTAACAGCCAGAAGGATCCTCAGAGACAACCTCATGCTTCAACTCACTGAAGAAAATGAGGATGTAGTACACATCCAAGAACACAGGACCTCACAGGTCCAGCCAACAGCAGACCCCAGATTTGTACTCCTGCCACAAGCCAAACAGCAGAGTTCTGATTTTGCTAAAGTGGGCAGTGTTGCAGCAAGGTTTCTCATCTTGCTGTCACCTCTGGACATGCAGAAACCCAACACATCCTCCTTTTTTTTCCCAAACTCTTATTCATCTATCAAGTCAGAGCTTAAATGACCTTTCACCCAAAATCCTTCTAGACCCTGAACATTTTCAAGATGGGAATTCTTTGTGTTCTTACCAGCTTCTTTGTACTTCCCTTAACACAGTATATTATAAGCTATTGTTTAGTCAAGTAACCTGCATTTGACAGCAAACATCATTCAGGTGGGACTACATGTCTTTTACCCCTGTGACTCCTGCCACCAGCACAGAAAATCTAATTGAATGGAAGGAAATCATCACAACTTTTCATTCACTAAAGTGAATCACTCCCATTTTTATCCTAAAATCTTTCCCCAGAAACAATGAAAGACCCGCTACCTTCTTCTAGGCCTCAGCACAGTCAGAAGTGGATGAAGGAAGCATGGAGAGAAGGCTCCAGAGAAGGGAGGAGTTGCAGTAGGGCACTAGGACAGAGGGTCAGGAAACTCCGCAGAGAAAGAGTGTGGGATGAAAGACTGAAGGCCTGCCCCCTCTGTGCCAGGTCTTGTGTTGGGTGCTGACGACAGCCTTTGCCCTCCACAATACTCTGTCTGTTCTGTGACCTTGGAAGTCCTGATCCAGAGCCCACATTTTTCCATCTGAAAACAAGGAAGATACCTGCTTCCCTTATTAAAGAGAAAAAAGCATATGCTTTGGGAAAAGGCATAAAGAGCCAAACGTCTATCACTGTCTTATGCCCTGACACATTGTGTCCCCTCGGGTCGTCCCTGCCCTTGTCTGGGCTTCACTTTCCCATCTGTAAAGGACTGAATAATCTTGTGGGCCCGAGCCTTGCCACAGTCACTCCGCACTGTATGGCAGAAGCCCTCAGCCAGCTTAGCCCGGGCCAAAAGGTAAGAAGTCGGGCTGGCCTCACCTGTCGGTGGGGCATAGGCCCGGGCCGGGAACTGGGGGAGTGACCCCGGTCTCACTAAGGTGGTGGGGTCACCTGAAGGCCGGTTCAGGAGGTGGCGTCCCCGGTCCTTCAGCCGGAGGCAGCTCCTCCACATAGTGCCCGGCGGCTTGGAAGGACGCGCGGCGAGAAACTCGAGGGCGGGAAACAGAGCGAAGGGATCCTCAAGACGAACGCTTGGGCTGTACGGAAACCTCTCACCGCCTCCCTGGAGCCATCAGCCTCCCCTGGACGCCGCCATCTTCCTCATGACACCTACGGCACGCCGTCGCCGCCGAGCACTCCCTGCGCACACCCCTAGTCAATCAGCATCACAAACGCCCTGGCCCCGCCCCCTCCACGCCGTGCCTCAGGAAGAAGACTACAAGTTCCAGAGGGCTGGTCGCGGATCTCGCCACGTGTTCTCTCCACCCGCCAATGGGCGGAAGCGCCGCGTGAGCTTGCGCCCGCCCTCTCGGCGCACCCGAGCCAATCGAAAGGGGCAGTGTGTGTGCGAGGGCAAGTGGGAAGGGGGACCCAGCTCAGGACAGGGAGGCCCTGCTCACAGGTCCCGGGGTCCCGGTGGCGGCCAGAGAGCTCGGTACGCAGGCAGCAGGAGGGTAGATTCCCCCCTCCCACCCTCACACGCGCGTGCGCACCCGGCCCCTCCCTCTCAGCCACCCTCCTCGGCTCCCGCGCGGCGGCGGCGGTTCCTCTCCCCTCCCCCCAACCCTGGCTCCGGGGGACCCCGCTATGCCGGTCCGCACCGAGTGTCCCCCGCCGGCCGGTGCCTCGGCCGCCTCCGCGGCCTCGCTTATCCCGCCGCCGCCCATCAACACCCAGCAGCCCGGCGTGGCCACCAGCCTGCTCTACAGCGGCTCCAAGTTCCGCGGCCACCAGAAGAGCAAGGGGAACTCATACGACGTAGAGGTGGTGCTGCAGGTGAGCGCCGGGCCGGGCCGGGCCGGGGCCCGAGGGCCTCCTCGCGGCGCTCATGGGCCGTGCCGGCTCTGGGCTCCTCGAGCCGGCAGCCGCGGACCAGGCCCTCGCCGCCGGGGCCTCTTGCACCCGGCGCCTCCCACCGGGACCTGCCCAGCTGGTGTCTCACACTCTGGAGCCCCATCCCTGAGCCCCTCCTCCCCTCCTCGGATAGAGAGCCTGTGGTGGCCGGTTCCTCGAACACTGTCCCAGACTTGAAGCCCTTGGCCGGCGGGCCTGGGATCCGGAAGCCCGTCCAAGATTGGTTGTCCCTCCCGCTTGGGTCTTCCCTCTCTAAGACCTGTCGCCCTACACCAACCAGCTCTCCCACCAGTCCCTCTCAGACCCTGAAGAACTCTCCATTGGTTTTAACTCGGGATCCTCCCCCGGACGGCCCGTGTCAGATTCTCCCAGATCTGAGAAAGGGGCCCTATCAGATCCTGGGACCTCCTCCCGCGGTTTCCTCCTTGGGAGAGCTTGATCAGCCCTTGAGATGTGGGAGCACCCTCCTCCCTCCATTGGCTAGGAGCCCCCAGCCCACAAGCAATTCCTCAATCCCTGGCTCCCTGAAGACCAGGTCTTCATGTCCTGGGTGCGTCTGAGTGGAGCTCCTCACCTTCTGTTAGGACCTAGCCTCCTGGAGCCCCCAGTACCACCCCCTGGTTCAGTCTTTTCATGATCCATGCATCTGGCTGCACCCTACTCCAGACCTTCTACTGTATTGTATGTAGCCACTTCCCATTTATTCTCAGTTTCCGTTTCCCGGACCTCCCCACCCCATACCTTGGTCTGGCTCATTACTAGCTTCATGGGACCCTCTTTCAGTGTTCTTAACATTTATCTACACAGACACAGGGCTTCCTCCCACCTCTGATACCCATGTACTGGGAAATCTTAACTCACCCAGTTTTGTTTCATGTCCACTGACCTCCCCCTATCTGACCTGGATTTCTGTGTACCTGCTGCCAGTCCCTGAGCAGCTTTGGAATTACACCTGCTTCTGCCCTTTCCCACACCTCACCTCTCTCTTCTATGATAGCACATTGACACTTCTTCCCAGCCAAAGATTTGCCATGGTGGATACTTCTTTTTATCTCCCCTACAAAACTTCCTCCTCTATTTTTACCTCTGCCTGCCTACAGACCCACTTTCCTCTTCCCTTTGCCTATTTTCCTGACACCATCTCCTAGGCTGTTAAAAAGCCCCTCTGAACAACTGTCCCTGAAAACCCTTCCAGAAGCTCAGAGACCCAACATGCCTCACTGCTCCCTGTGTGAGGGTGAAAGTGTGGTGTGCCAGCCACCTCTGCCCACCCTTTTCCCTTTCTAACTTTACATCTTCATCTCTCTTCTGAGCAAGTAGGTCTCCCACCCCAAAGACAATGGGAGTGCCTAGGTAACTAGTGCATTCATCAGCCTCCTTTCTCTTCCTGTTTTGTGGAAATAAGTTCTGTGGTTTTCATTGATAGAACTGCATCCTTATTCTACTTGAATCTTTCACCTGTAAACTTGTAAGTCTAACATGAGGCATGATATTTATTGAAAAACTATTGTGGCTGAGATATTTCAGTCCATTTCGTAGTTATGCTATGCCTAGGGCTGGGGATGTAGCTCAAGTGATACAGTGTTTACCTAGCATGCACAAGGCTTCCATCCCCAGCACCGCTAGGAAACAAAAATGACTCAATGCCTAATGTGGTGATCCCCTTCTTTATTGCTTAAACTGTAAGAATCTAGTGTGAAAGTCATTCTTTTTTTTATTTTTAAATTTATTCAATCATAAAATCCTCATAGTGAGATCCTTGGGTGGGTCATGTTCAAAATGGTTCTGAATTTTTGCCCATTTGATGGTTTTTGATGCAATAGGGAACAATTGGCAGGGTAGCTGTGTGTCAAGGGGAAGTCTGCTTTGGTTCCTGCAGTGACTGTTCCCTTCTGTCATTAGTGTGTTATTTCTGATCCTGTCAGGTGCCAGTGTCCATATGAACCAGTTGAAGTAGTGGTTGAGTTGGGCATGGCTGGTAGGTGTCAGGTGGCCCAGAGCAGAAACCTGACAGATGGAAGCCTTTGAATAGGATGTCTGGGGGGAGGGGGGGTCATCCCAAGGAATGCTGCTCTGTATGTGGATTGGTGAGCTGTTGTGCATCATTGCCACCAGTCACATCATTGCCCCATCTGGTTTTTCAGCCAAGACTAGTTTCTAAGACTCAGCCTTCTTAGAATATTTCTCCTGTCTTTCACAACTCAGCTTCTTTTGCTTACTTTCTTTCTTTTTCTTCTTAAGCACCTTTTATTGAGATATAATTCATATACCATACCATTTACTAATCAAAAGGTGTACACTTCAGTAGCTTTTAGTATATTTAAAGTTGTGCACACATCACCATAACCTAATTTTAGAACATCTTTTATCACCCCAAAAGAAACCTTCATACCCTTTAGCTGTCACCCCTCTCTAATCTTAGGCAACTGTTAGGCCTCTTCCTTTAGACTTTCCTATTCTGGGCATTTTGTATGAACAGAATCATACAGTATTTATCTTTTTGTAAGTGACTTCTTTAACTTAGCGTACTGTTTTCATGGTTCATCCATATCTTAGCATATATCAATACTTTACTCCTTTTTTCTGTTGTATTGTCCATTGTAATCAGTGTCCCATTGTGGATATGCAATGTTTTGCTTGTCTTGATCAGTCAATGGACATTTAGGTACTTTCCACTTTTTGGCTATTGGCTATTATGAATAATGCTGCTGTGAACATTTGTATACAAGTCTTGTTTATTTGCTTTTGATATGGATACTGTTGTATTACCTAGGTTGGCTTTGAACTCCAGGGTTCAAGGGATCCTCTCACCTCAGCTTCCCAAGTGCTGGGACCACAGGCATGCACTACCATGTCAGGATTCTGTACTACTTTTTATGCGGACATAGATTTTCATTTCTTTTAAGTAGATAGATACCTAGGAGTGGAATTGCTGGGTCAGATAGCAATGCTGTTTTATATTTGGATGAACTACAAATGACTTTTAAAGTGGCTGCACCAGTTTACATTTCTACCAGTAGCATATGAGGGTTCCAATTTCTCCACAACCTCACCAACACTTGTATTGTTCATCTTTTTGATTGTAGCCATCCTACTGTGTGTGAAGTAGTATCTCATTGTAGTCTTGATTTGAATTTCCCAAAAGATAATTGTGCATCTTTTTATGTGCTTTGTAGAGCACTTTTTGTTTTGATGTTCCAATGTAGAGAGTTCTTCGAAACTTTTATGGGGTTCTGACTTGTTTTTTTTGTAGGGGGGTGGTACTGGGGTTTGAACTCAGGTTCTCAAGCTTGTTAGGCAGGTGCTCTACCACAGGAGTCACTCTACCAGCCCTGTTTTGTATTGGGTGTCTTGGGAACTATTTGCCCAGGCTGGCTTTGAACCATGATTCTCTGGATCTCTGCCTCCTGAGTAGCTAGGATAATAGGTGTGAGCCACTGGCACCTGACCTGATCTTTTTTCCCCCTTTTTACTGTGACTCTTTCCCCCTTTGCTATCCCAGAAGCCACCAGTGGAGTAAGGGCTGGGTCCATGTGAAAGGAATATGAAAAAGAGCAGCTGTTGGACACAGCTGTGAGACCTGCTTGCTAAACATTTGCCTTGTTATCTTTCTCATTGAGATGCTGGCCCCTTTTTGGTGAAAGCTGTATGTGTTGTGGGGTAATTTGAGTTCACCAGCCATCATCAAGATCAATTTGAGCAGAATAAGAGAGAGACACATGGTTAGAGACCAAACATTCTGATTCTTGAGTATCTGATAATCCATGCAAATACAAGCCAATTTACAGTTCAGTTTTTAATCTTATTAACAAGTATCCCTGCCACCTGATACCCCATCCAGCAGCTGTGAAACCCCAAACTGTATTGACTTCAATGAGAACTGCATACATGAAATTTAAGGCCTCAGGTTAGGACTATGTGTCCTTTAATAAAAATTCTTTGCTGAACCATATTAGTGTGGATCAGCTGTTTTCCATAATGTCCAATGCCAAGGTCAGCAGATATCTAAAATGGTTTGGCAGTTTTTGCATGGAATACTTTTGTCACCAGCACTAAGCTGGAAAGGCACTTGGGCTTCAAGGAAGTTTGTTTGCTTTGGTGCTGACATCATCTGGCTGACCAAGTTCATTACAGTTTTGAAGGACTGCCTTGATACTTGGTTTATGGTATAATTGGAAGTAATTGAGTTCTCAAATGTGGTAAGTGCCACATAACTTTTCTAGTTTCTTGAAAGGAAACCTCACTTAACAT